ATTATATTATAATTTAATCTGTGTAGCGCAACGGAGCCTCTCCAAATTCACTCTGGTCATTAAAATGTACCTTTCCAAAGTGTCAATCAAACTGAACGAATGACCAATCAGAACAGGGCGAATAATATGCGCGTGTCCTACAAACAAAAGCACATGTTTGTCCCACAAATGCATGTGTTTACGTATGTTTACGCTATTGTTTTGTGAGACTTCAGCAACAATATCGAAGGGATATGGCTTAGTGGAAAGGTCTGTTACAATATACTCTACATACAGAACCTTCTATTCGGAGCCTAGTACTAACATGGCAACATTCCCTGTGCCAACCTATAATTCGTCGCCCAAATCACGAACTAACACAATCAAAGTATTGTTCATAAAATCAGAGTAGCGCATCAAAACAAGCGTGTATTGGTTGTCAAGCACTTTTGTATTCTTTACCACACAAAAAATCGTCAACAACAACTAACACAATTTACTTCGATTGTGTTAGTTTGTGATGTGAGCAATGAATTATTACCCAAATAGTTTTGCCATTGGTCAGGAAAAAAATGTAATTACTTGTCTATCATGTAATTTTTTTTTGTTTCCATTTTACATATTTTTGTTATTTGAGTCAGGTGAGGTTCTTAAGCTCGGTCAATTGGTGATGAAATGGTTCTATGAAAGATATTTTTCTATTCTTTTGTATTACATAAGTAGGCAGGTTAATGACCTATCATGATAAAAGCCCAGAGGCTTTAAGAATATTGTATAGTTATTGTATAATGCAGATTGAGGTATGATAGTTTATGATTTACTCTATGGTAATCTCAGTGCAAACATTAGTAAACTTTACTACAGTTTTAGTAGACTTACAATGAAGGTAAAAGCACAGGGGTTTGTGCACAGCACATTCTTAGAAGATTAAGATAGATTTACAAATAATGGGTTTCTAATTCCATCATGGCTTAATTTATGTTGCTCAAGATTAAATGATGGATAGAATACACATGTTTTGATTTTGGGATTATAGAAGACGCCAATACCCAATGATTAACTAGCGTAATAAAATGCTATCATTATCAATAATTATTCTACAACCCCTGCCCAACTTCTAACTATTAGGAATTGCCTGATACAAAAACAGTGGCATATGGCGTTACAGAACTGTGAAAATTATCACATTGTATTTAGGCACAACATGCATTATGGCAGGTCGTTGTTCAGTCAGGCACGATAGTCCTTATAATAACACTACTTACCTAGGCAGTGTGTCAACGCTTTTGTTTATTTATATTATTGGTAAGTAGAGCAACCTATTTACAAAGGTATCTCAACCCCATAATGCACTATTGGAATGTGCTGTTCAACATATTTATCTTTAAGATAACTTTCAATTTATTAACAGAAGTGCAATACCGGAATATTCATATTATAATGCATACTGTAATTCCAATAATCTCAATTATTACTTTACTTAATTTCTAAATTTATTTTAAATATTGCAAATAACAGTATGGAACAAGGGGGGTGTGTGATAAACTTGACAATTACCAGATCTTCCAAACCCTGAACATTTAAAAGGGAGACACATCAATAAAAAGTCTTTTTTCATTTTATTTTGGCAAACTGTTGATTTATTATAACATTTTATATCACATTTGAGAATGTGTGTAACTTGATGTTTGGATACTTGCCTCACAATTCCAGAGACCCGTTTCAAAAACTATAAATAAACCGTTAGTAGTAATTTTCCTCGCAGTGAGTCATGACTAAAAAAGAACTTCTAAGTCAAATAATGAGTTTATCACACACCCTTGTTCCATCCTGTTATTTGCAATATTTAAAATAAATTTAGAAATTAAGTAAAATAATAATTGAGATTATTGAAATTATGCACTATAATATGAATATTCCGGTATTGCACTTCTGTTAATTGATATGTTATTCTATCTCTTAATTAACTGAATAATAAATGCATTTGAGACCATGCCATACTCTGTACAAGACAGACAGGATTTCAGTCTGGTATGCTAATTGATAATGGATGCAGGCATAGTGATATATAACTTGGAGAGATTTATTAACATGGCCTAATTTGTAAAATACTTTATAACCAGCTTCTTGATGAAATAATCAGCAGTTATGATCAAGAAATATTAAATTCATGTTCAAGTGAGCATAATAACTTAAGTAAAATTGAAATATATTAAATAAATTCATAAATAGAAAGGTAAGATAAACAGTTAAAATGACTGTCTACTGGTCTAGTATGTGATCTGGAAACATTAAAATAAAATATTAATTAAAAGATTAAATATATTACCTTACAATAGAAATAATATTAAAACTCTGTCCAGATTTTATTTTTGAAAAAACATATAGTCATGATGTGCCTATATATGACCATGATGTGATGTCATCATGACCATATTTAGGTATGTCACATGTCTGGACATACTGTATGTACTCATAATCTGGCAACATTTTCTTTAATCTCACATTGACTACAAAAAAAATATACACTGAAATTAAAATTGATATAACAAATTATACTTTTCAAGATATAAATTCTAATCTGATAGATCTGCTTCAAAATATCAATTCCAATTTTGCAATTAACCCCAACCCAGTAGGTCTTTAATAGAGCGACTGAGGTTGATGACTGATTAAGGTTGGTGAGAAATTGACAATATAGTGGCATGAAATATAGCTCAAATTTAATTAAAACATAGGATTGCTTATTTGAAAGGAATACAAATTGTTGAACTTTCAGTGAGACACAAATGAAAACAATTCAGATTTCGCTGATTAATAGACTTTATTGTACTGTAAATAAAAAGTGTCTTTAAATTAATCTGTTGGGGTTTCTTAGCTCATCATATTGTAGCTTGGCTTCTCTGAAAAATTAGTCTGATCGGGGATGGGGGGAGGGGGTTAATTCTCTGATCTTTGTCTCTTTTTCTTATCAAAATTTTCTCATCGTTTTTGTTGCATGTTTTCAGGACCCCAATGGAAATAAATATATGTAATTGATTTTTTGGGCTATCCTGATCATAATCAACACTTTTCATTTTTTTTTTTTTTTTGTATTTTTCCTGTGATGTGTTTACATTTTTATTGTAATTATGTTTTAATTGTAATTATCTTTATAATTACTTTTTTTTTATCCTTATTTTTTTCTTGTTCCCTTAATAATTTTTTAACCTTTTTCCTAAATAAATAAATGAATGAATGAATACAGCAGCAATGCCAGATTAACATAGTTAAATCAACTATTGGTTCCTTGATCATTTGAGCAGAGTCAATTTCAATCACATTTCATTTATCTTGAAGAAGTTTGTTTTTCAAGTACTACTATGGAATCTAACAAAGTGCTTACTCGATATTTCTTGCTTCAAAATTCTGCCTCAGGGGCTACTTTAAATATGCATTTATATCCATACTAGCTCAGACATTTGGTTATATATAGTCATTGCTTGCTTCTCTATGATTGATCACAATATATGCTGAGGCCTGATTTACTGTAGGTAAACTGCAGTATGTCTCCCAAGTCTAATTCTCATGTAATTTTGTATGCATAGTGGCTTTACTACTTAGAAAGATTGTTGAGGATTATGATGTTTCTCTTGTGTCTCGTTGCGAGGAACATATGTTTCAAAATATCCAGTTATATATATAAACCACAATCACCTGTATTATGTACTCAGTGTCTCAGTTGATAAATGTTTTTATGTGGACAAAAACATGGTGATAAATAAGTCAATAAAAACAAAAACAAAAAAACCCAATGATTTCTAATCAAAGTATGTGCCTTGCTAAAAATGAAGAGGGAGACTACATGAGTTATGTTAACAAAAATAACTATAAAATATAACTCCCTGAATGCACTCTTTTTTCAACTGTTTGATTATCTTATTCTCCCAATCTCAACACACATTACGAGGCTATACAGTAGTGCCTTTAACTTCATGCACCATCGGTGCTGGTTCAAGCCATTCCTTGCCCAGGTTTCGGATTTATTCATGTAACCAAGTTTTTATTCTTGAAAAACTGCTTAAAAAGGCTCAGTGTATACTGTACATCTGGTTTATGTACACTTTAAAGAAGAACCCATTGTATCTTTCAAAAGAGTAATTGGTTATCCCTATGCTCTGGTTAAATTCAGTCCCTATTTATTTATTTATTTACAAACATATTTTACATGGATAATATTTTCATATAAAAAATATGTTCTAACAAATGCTCCATGAATTAAATATAAAGCAAACAATTTACAAATAACAAGAAATATTTTTGGATTTTTTTTTTACAATATTTGAATGAATTTAAACAAATTAAAAATACATTATAATTGAATTTGAAAATACAAAAAAAAAAAAAATTAAAAATACAATTATTTAAAGAAAAGTATTAAGCTTCCTTCTACAGCTTATACAGCAGTGTCACATTTAAAAAAAAAAAAAAATTAAAAATTAAGTATAATGGTAAATATTTCTATTGTCACTGTCAGATACTGTATTTCTTTTTAAGAACTTATTTTCTTTTTTTTATAAAAATAATTCATATCCAGCTCTGTATGAATACACAGAGCTGTTGATTATCAGTAAATCAGTCATTTTGAATAAATCTATAATCAATCTATAATCGATCAATAAATGATTCACAATTTATTATTTTTGTTTCAGTGGGCATAGAAAATTTAGTAAAATTCTGTTTATATGTTTGTATGGCAACTTTAGAAATCCAGTTCTCAGATTTTCTCCTCCATTGTCAAACAGCTCCTCTACCAATTGTTTATGTATGCAAGTTTATTAATGTCAACTTTATGTGAATTTTTTTTATTGTGAACTTGTGATTGTTTTAGCAGATATGGCTTTCATAATCAATAAAAGAAATTAAATTGAATTGAATCTAAATCAAAGAGAGTACAGTTGCACATCTAGTTTGTATATTTTCAGCTACTGAGAGACATTAAAACAATGACAATTTTTTATGATCAATATTTTTCTTTGTAGGAAAGATATGCAGGGACCATCGCCACAGGCGTGTTGGAACACTGTTCTTCAGTTGACAAGATCCCAGTATCGTCAGCATACAATCTTAAGTCAAGTGTATGGAGGCACCATTGTAAACAGCTTCACAACTTCCCATGAGGAACTGCAGAAAATTTTCAAGAAGGTGAGATTTTAAAAAGGTTTAATAGCTGGGGTGGACATGAAAATGGGGTCAGAGAAAATTGAGGGCTGCACCTCCAGTACAATTTGATGTTTCCAGTGCGCTTCCAAAAACCTTCATGGACTACTTAGACTTTTTAAAGACCCCTCTAATAGACCTTTTCGGAGTGTCAATCAAGCTTAACAACTGACTAATCAGAACAGCGCTACAACACACGTGTTCACCTATGTTTTAAAACTGTCGCCTTGTAGGACCTTAGCAACAGTATCCAAGGGGCGGGGCTTAGCGGAAAGGTCCATAAGGACCACCTCCAATTAAAAGACCACTTTTCTGTGGTTCCACATTAAAGATACTAGAAATACAAGATAGAGTTCTCGCATTGTAAAAATGAGGCGGAAGTCGTGCCCAACGTAGGCGGCGCCCTTCTTTTTAACCACTCAAGTTTCCTATACTTCGTGCCCAACGTACAGGGCGCCCTTCTGTTGCTAAGTATATCCAGACGCAAAAGGTGCCCTTCCTTTTCCACTAATGGAGGAAAACTTTTTCACTAAGAGTGCGTCCGGCCATGCGATTCTGCGCTGTATTATTGTTTTATTCTTTACTGATTTATGATTATGCTTTAATTGTTTTGTGTATTATTTGGATAATAGCAACGATTTCTACCGCCACCAAGGAGGTTATGTATTCACCGATGTCACTGTCTGGGTGTCAATTCCAGTTTGTTTTTATATCTAGTCTTTGTTGAGAATTGATAATAAAATACGCGACGACTTGGTAACAAAAGTTTGGCACAAGTTTTTTTAGATCCAGCTGTAGGGGGCATCCCATTTTTCGTATTCCCACCATGCATTTCGGTGGAACACGGTGGAACACTTTTTTTGTGTGGAGAACTCTATCTTGTATTTCTAGTATCTTTGTTCCACAATAACAAATGTCATTTAGTTGATTTAGACTAAAGCTATTAAAGACCATGAAAACCAAAGTCCCAAAAGTGGTCTTTAATTGGAGGGAGGCCTATACTTTTATAGATGATGATCGGTGTCGGGCCATAAAAAAGTAAAAGGGGTTTTTTTTTTAGCCAAACATAGTTGGCGGGCCACACACATAGCGTGCGGGTCGCAACAAAATCAATGTCGGGTTGTATGCAGCCTATGGGCCACACTTTGCCCACCTGTGGATTAAAGAGTACTGCGCATTGCTATGATCAGGTACCATGCGATTGCTTCATTACTGAGTAACACCTTGCAAGTGTTGTTATAGCTCAATACCTCTAGAACTAGCCCCTGTTTTCTTTGCTTTTTACAACTGATGTGTGATAACCTAATTTCCAGTTAACAACCTAATGAAACTATAAAAACTTGGCATTTATTGAATATATTTATTGTCAAATATAAGTTTACAACACAAGAATAAGAATGTTGTAAAATTATAGGTCCGAAATTTGTCAGTTAAAAAGCTATGTAAACTGTAGCTTAACTATAGGAGGCACTTTTGTTGTATCAACTGCTAGGGTTGCCTTGCTCAGTAGCAATGGGATGACACATGGACACCTTGGCAACATGGAAATAGAAAGATTTGCGCAAAAGTATTTGAAAAGGCTGGCAGACATGGTAAATAAAATATTTAACTTCTGTTGTCTATAAGAGGTTTTGAGCACCATTACGAAAACCATATGAAATAAAGTACACAATAAATTTAAAAAGAACGATTAAAAAAAAACTAAAGTTGGTAATAAACCTTGACAAAATATACATAATACATAATTGAATTTCTTTAAAAAAATACAAAACAAAATAAAAATCAAAACTGAACATGAAAAGCAATGCAAAACAAGAATAATAGTAGAAATATGAAAATTTAAATAGACACTTTATAAAGGATGCCTTGCAAGGGCATTCTTTTTTGATAATATATTTATTCTCAAATACTTTTTCGATATTGGTCTCCCTTTTTGTTTACATTGTAAAATCCACTTCATTGAGAATGTATAAATGATTATGTACAGCCTTGGCTTTTAAGTTAGATTTCATTTTGATCATTTTCTATAGTTCTTCTTTAGGGTCATGACCTGAAAGAATGACATCATGAAGTTCCTGAAATTACCAAACATTCATTGTCATTGAATTGTCTCTTTGTTACGTTTGGGATGGTCATGCTGTAAATTTGTTCAACATTCTATTGAAGTATTTCAGTCAGTCATTGCCGTTGTTATGTGTCATTTGTCATTTAGTTTGCATGTCTTTTTACTTTAGGCCAGAGTAGTTTTGCTGCTAGATTTGGAATTGGATCTCATTCAACTCACCTTAACTATTGTGGTTATTATTGAACTCAAATGTACTGTACTCAATTCTACAAATCATCACTCAACATCATGAATTAACACAATAAAAGTGGATTGTGTTAGTTCATGAAAACAAGTGTGTTAAAATAAGCACTGTGTCATTAAAGACTTTTTGTGTGGTAAAGAATACAAAATACATGCTTATTTTGATGTGCTTTTTTGTTTTCATGAACACAATCTAGTTTTACAGTAGTGTGTTTAGTTTGTGATGTGAGCGATGAAATAATTGACATTGCCTACAAAATGGCTGTTTGTAACATGTCCATACGTCAGCAATATAATCTTGAATAGTGGTGCTCTTTCACATGTGATGTGGACATATGAATTTCAATAATACACTGATGTTTTTTATGATTTGGCCTAGTTCATAGTAAAACATCCATTTTACAAACATTGAATTTATGTATAGTCGATCTTACGAACGGTCTTTTCCCCTGATGACGTCATCATCGACCAATTATTACTGTAAAAAAAGTCCGATTGTGCATGTTTTATAAAATTTTCTTAATAAAATCGAGTTTGTTATATTTATTCAGTAACAGTTTGATCTTTTCTTCCATTTCTGGTATTATAATCACTATGTTAATGTAATAAACCTAACCAGAACAACAAACTACCAACGCAAGTGTCGTTGGATTGAGCGCACATGTTTACGATGACGAACAAGAGTGGTGGGGTCAGCAAATTATTGACATCGTGAATGCTATGATTGCGAAATGCATGTAGAAAGAACACGATAGAAAGGTCCATAAAACATACAGATGTTTGAATAAGAGTTAAAATAATATTTTGTTAAGTGGAAGAATGCAAGCGATTAAAATAATTTGGTTTTTATCGAAGGTAAATTCAGCTAGGCTCTAGCACGGTAGACCACGTTGCTGCACTGTCGGTTGTGCTACGCCTGGCCTGTCATCATTCAATGCCAGGATAACTAGGCCTAGGTATTGGAAATTGACACCTATATCTAGTTTACAAATTTTTCAATTTACTGTACGAACACCCCTTGGTACCAAGAAGGGGTACATAAAATGGATGTTTTACTGTATATATTTATGGTGAGCTACAGGTCATTCATACATTAGAATATTCTCAGAAAAAAAAGTATCAAGTATTGACTTGAATTAGGCATACAGTACAGTTCCAAAAAATTGCCATTTGATTAAAAAGGGGATTCCCCAAGTATAAGCCCACGGCCAAAAGTTGAAAAAATTTTGTGTTCAAACTGCGTTGGATTATACCTATGGTACCTTGATTTTTGGCATCATACTTATGTTTCATACACAAGGGCCACTTGACCCTGTTTTTGCTGTTGTGGTGTTCCAACTTTTAGTAGGACTTAATTGTGGGAATGTACTGTTGAAATTGAAAGACTGGAAGGAAGGCATGGAAAACAAGTTGTAAATGAAACTAGTAGTCAACATTTACAGACAATTTGACTTTCACATTTTGATACTGTACTTCCCTTTTGAAATTTGTATATTACTATAACATATAGTATAGTATTTGAGGCACAGATATAAACAGTGTTTGATACTAGAGTAATTGCAAACTTTTGCACTAAAGGAAATACGTCCAGTCCAGTCTAGTCTTACAGAAAAAGAACTTAAATTATTTTGATATGATAGATGTCTGAGTATCATGTCATGAAAATTTTGACTTGCACTCTATTTTGGTTTTTTTTCAGTCAAAATAACATCTGGATATATTTTATATATAATGTAGAAAAATTTATATAAAAATGTATACTCTTCCATTTTCCAAACATTTTTTTAGCATTTGATTTGAGGTCATCAGTGTTTTTCTTTTTTTCACTCTCAGTCTCGCATAAATAATTTCATAACAATATTCACATGCATGACATGTTATAAGGGAACCTTTGCTCAGATGAAAAATGTTAATTCATTATAAAAAGACATTTGTATTGACATGTCTGGTTTTGTACATTATGTATTTCCAAATGTGGGTGTTTGTTCCTAGATATTCTTTTAGCAAAGGGTAGTGTACTTTTTTTTTATACTAAGTGCATCTATTTTTGTCAATATTGTATTCAAATTTTGCTGTCAATATTTATCTTCTTTTTTAAATGAGTGAAATTATTCAATTCAATGTGACACTTATTTTAATTTACTTCCTTATTAGAATTTACAGTAAGAATTTAAAATTAAATGGGGAAAATGTGAAGAACCAAAAATGTGTCAGCCTGGCTCCTAAACAGGTTCATTGGAGGGGAGTTTCCTACCAAGTTTTAACAAAGTTATAATAAAATACTAACTACGTACTAGTAGTAGTAAACTGGTGAACAGGGGTTTTGGTTATGGGCCTGTGGACAAAAATGGGGACAAGAGGCAAAAACAGTTACAACAAAGACAGCAAAAAATTACAAGGAAGCATTGATGACATTTGACAGAGAATTGGGACATGCTTCTTGAACCTTCTAAACAATGTAGTCATATCCAAAACAGTGTTTGTGGCCATAAATACCAAAACCCACTTCCTTGTATGTAGTAAACAGCCACTTGTCAGAATTTATGATGTCATCAATTTTGGTTTGCATGTTATCAGAGGCATACACAATTTTTAGTTTTGCAGGGTGTTTGCTGTGTGTGATTGTATGCTTTGTCATTTGTTACTTTTTTTTCATTGTCGATGTGTGGGCTTGCCAAATCTTCATCCTCCTTCTGTATTTGAGGAAATGAATATATTATTAAATATTGTTTGAAGGTTTGCATGGCGAATTAGTAATATTAATGCTTGTGGTACACCTCGTAGATAGTTCAGAAAAGAACTGTTGGTTGAGGTACACCACATACATAGCTCTGAAAAGAACTGTTGTTTTTTGGTTGAGATATTCTCAACCAACAACAACAGTTCTTTTCAAAACCATCTATGTGGTGTACTGCAAGCTTTAATATAATATATAAAATATATTATTATCATTTTTGAAAATTGTTTTTTCAACTTGTACAGTATTTAAAAATTTGTTTAGGCTGATATTTTCAAAGGTCAATGAAATATTATATAGGCCTTCTTCTAAAGCTCAGTCAATTTTGACAAATCTGTGTGATACGCCCATATATGCGCATGATGATGACATATTATACCCAAACATTGAGTGGAATGGAGTTGAATAGCTTAGTGGTTAAGATATTTGCCTTCTAGTCCCAGTGTCCTGGGTTCAATTCTTATAACAGCAAGATTGTTTTCTCTAGATTTAAAGCAGCTCTGCCCCCGAAGCATCATAAAGAGACTTCATGATAAAAGCTTCACTTTATTTCATTTATTTAAGAGTGCCCCTGAATAGCAGCCAACCTTCTAGGATATGCTGGAAGGGTCACCCTCTATATTATTTGAAAATAAAATAAATAAAAAATTAATAGGGTGGACAGATCCCAGGAAATCATAAATCAATTTCAATTTTTGTTTTGAAAACCACATGCATTCTCATCTGACAGTGATGATGGATGGATATTGAATGATTAAGGGTGGAAGTGTTGTGGTCTGAATGAGGTATTTTTTAGTGAGTCAATTGGTTGAGCATTTTAAGGGAGGGGTGCCACAATCTACAGTTATAGCCATAATATATAATACAAGTCCACCAACTGTAGGTCTAGAGTAGATTTTTTTTTCAGATAGTATAGGCCTACCGTATATTGCATACCACTGAAACAATAAAAACGTTCTTTTTTCTTTACACTCAAATATCTAGTAAAAAAATTGAATACTTATAGCACTTCAGTACTGTAATTATTTAACAAACCTCTGTTTTCTTCATGAATTGGTTACTATTAAGTCTTGGTATTTCTTTGTTTTCAATTTTAAAAAACTGGTTTCCTTTCTTTGTATTATTTTTATTATTGGTTCAAAATGGCTTCATTTAAACAATTAGTAATTAAATGTTAATAAAAAAATCTTTTTTATTTAAACACGCATCTAATATTCTCTTAGTGGCTTTAGTTTTAAAAACTTTATAGCACCAGTAATTAATGTTTTTCTTCGTGAAATACTGAAATTTAGTCTGTTTTTTTTATTTATTTTCAATTTTTTTAAACTGGTTTGCTTGTTATTGTATTTATTATTATTATTTCAAAATCGGTTTCTTAAAAAAAAACCAAAAAAACAATTGGTAGTTATAAAGTTAATTACTTTTAGCATAATGACCGTATTTTCAAAGATAGTCTTTTCAAAAGCACACCCAAGGGAAATTCTGAATACCATATGCTGAGGATGAAATATAATAATTCTAATACATCCCATTTTATTGGTATGTAAAGCCATTGTAGTGTTATTCTATAATGTTATGTAGTTTAGTTCAAATCTCCAAATATGGCTTTATGATTTGATGACCTGCTTCTTGGTGCTCAGTGAATGTAAATGATAGCTTGCAATACTATCTATCCTAATTTAGAGTCCTTAGTTAACGACACTGATATATAAATTACCAGAAATTATGTACAGATGACAGAATTCTGATGTTGATGTAGGTTGGTACTGTAGTTTTGTAGTGCAGATATTTTTTGTAATTTAGGTTATATATGTTTTTGTTCAAAAATACAATGGCACACTTTATTCATCATTGAATTATTTAAAAAGAGACTGAAGATATTTTTATGAATTAACAGAATCATAATAATATTAATATCTGCATCATTAGCATCAGCTCAATCAATAAGGTCTTCATATCATCACCATTGTCATTATAGAGGCAATCACAAATCATCATCGGCAAAGAATTTGCACTGTCCGTCATTGTAAAGTATATTTTAACTGCTATCAATATCATGTGCAACACTGCAGGACAGTAGGGTAACACATACACAGAAGAATACAGTGTTTACACACAGGTTATTGTTTAATACTTTATACCAAGAAGAATAGACAAATCAACATCAAAAGTGTATACTATTATCATAACTTACTCAATGTGTAATTTTGCTAATTGAATTGACATTGTAAATAGTTACATAGATGAATGAAATTACTCAAAGCATGTTACATCCATTCATATGAGACTATGGGCCTACTTATCGCTCCATTGCATCCATACTGTACACAGTGTCTTCCCCTTTTAAATGCAGTAGATTAGATTTTTAAACCAGTGAAATACTAAAGTCTAGAAAGCCATGTTTTATAAAATTGAAGTGTAAATGACAAGCAACAGCCCAGAGAAATAAAATTTTAAAGAATTAGCACTTCCACATCCATCCCTTTCCACAAAAAAAAACTTCTCTGATTAGATCCTATATCTACCAGCTATTTCTCTCTTGATTAAAAAAAAATCCACAATTAACAGTAATTCTCAAATACAGGTCTAATTAAAGATCCCTCCAATTAAAGACTACCTCCAATAAGACCACTTTTATGTGGTCCCATAAAAACAAATTTTATCTTTGCTATTAAGACCATGAAAACCCTGGTCCCAAAAGTAGACTTTACTTTAATTGGAGGGAGTCATGAAGTATATTAATTGACAATAATACAGTTACTGTGAAATTGAGCTCTCTGCCAACCTGTCTACTTCACATACCCTGCAGATGTAATCACTTCTCAAAACAATAGAAAGCTGTATGTATGCGACAATCGTACATCGTAAAGTCGTGATTGCTTGTCAGTAATGTACGATTTGCTTGTCACTGCCATTAGCGTTGACATGGATTATTGATGTACCTTGCGAGGTAGTGTTGTCCTTCATTCATTTATGAATAGCAATCATAAGCTATTATGCTTTACATTAAAATTTTAACAGGTTGAGCATGATGGGAGCTGTGGTTATTTCCTTTCATTTGGTACCTTATCATTTTAACAGGTTGATTATGAAGGGATGGGGCTTCGATTGTTTTATTTCATTTCATTCAGCTAGAATTGGCTTGTTTTCTCAATTATAAGCTTATGGGGAGGGGAATTGGTTTTTGTAAGGAAAGACATTTTTGAATTTATAGGATTGGGACCCCGGATTGTAGCTAACAGTAGCTACTCCATTCCATGAGGAATGGAGTAGTAAAATAGTAAAAACATCATTGAATGATTTCTTAACTGTATTGTAGATTGAGAACAACAAATTAACCGGCTCCCATCATAAAAGAACTGTAATAATAACGCTTCTTAATTTGTTTGGACGTCAATAACTATATGTCTCCTAATGGACATGCTGAAGTATGCTACGGTATTCAGAAATATTCAACAATAATTTGTAGTTTAAACACCCTACTAAGCCCCTTGTTTGTAGCAATACATAACATCCAAGGTTTGAATTGTTTGTGTAAAATATCATATCAAAATATCTATCATTTACTTTAGTCACAACCATACAAGTATACAAATTGTAGACAAATACAATCAGTTGTCAGTTAATAGAAATATACACGAACTGTACATATTATGTATAGTAAACCTATTTTCTTCAGCATATTTGTTACAGTACACTTGTTTCTCATTTAGTACAGTATGCCAGGGTATTAGAAATATAAATAGTTTTGTAATTTAGTATACTATTGCGGGCAATCTTGAGGTTACTTTACACTACATAAATGGCATTCAAATGAAGATTTTGCTTCTGTTTCAATGTTTGTGCTCACGATTCATCATCATTTAGGGCTTAAATGACTAATGCAACATTTTGCCTACCGCCAAATGCCTGTGTCAGCGTTTTCTTCTCCTATATTAATCAATGAAAAGAAGTTCTTCAAAAGTATAATGATATATGTGTACGTGTTTGTGCATTTATGTTTTTGAGCACACATGTGCACATTCCAATGTGGTTATGAATAATTCTGTCATACGTTTGCAATCTATTAACCTCTGACCTTTGGTTTTTTAATTTTTTTTTGCAGAGTAAAGAGCTGACAATGGGAGTTCATGATGAGCTTATGAAAGTTATGTCACAACTACAGAAGGTAATTTATATACCGGTAATGCTTGATATCTCACTGTTTCAAGTGAGGGTTGGCGACATAATAATTGTATGTTCAAAGGATATAGTTTATGTATATAAATTTAAAAATCAAGAGAGCAGGTGGCTTGGACTGCAGATACTAAATAGAGGCTGTTGAATATTTGTGTTACAAACTACTGTAGGTGGGACTACAGAGTACAGTATGTGGGGGGGAGGGGTTGCATATATGACATTATGTGGGATTGCATAGGTTGAACTGCATTGATGTACAGTAGGTCTGCAAAGAAAGTAGAGCTATGGAGTATATGGAGTTTCAGTTTGGGTGTGTCTACTTTCTTTTAAACTTTGGCAGAGTGCAACATGATAATAGCAATATTAGGGTAGGGGAGCTATAATTATTTGTTGATACTTATTGAATTCCCTCACGGGAAAGTGCGTGTCTTGCCGGTATCATAATGTAGTTTAAAGCCCTTATTGCACTGGACTTAATTTGGTCAAATTAACCGAGTCACTGGCTAAATTGACCAAAAAAAATCCAATCCAAACGTCGGTTGCAATTCCCTCAGGGTTAAATTGACCAAGCCGAATGGTTAATTTTACCGACCTCAGCCTGCCCAGTAAAACTTACCACGGTCTCGGTTAAACAAACCATGCTGGTCAAGAAGTCCAATCCGAACGTGCAACACAGTTAAAACTTCTTCCATGTTGACACCGCTCGAACAAAACCGGAAGTTGAAGTCACAAACTAGCGCCCTCAATAATATTTTTTATACACAAGGTTAAATCTTGGTAAAACTATGGTAAAACTAACCGCGTGAATAATCCAGGTGCGAACAATTGTGAAATGTACCCATGGCTTTGGTTAAAGTTACCCTGGTTAAATTTACCATTTTTTAAATCCAGTGCGAACAAGGCTTAAGTAATTTTGCATCAACATCTCAGACCGAGTTGATCTAAGGTGATAGGACAACGCTAATCATCATATCAATCCATTTTCGCCTACAGCATGGCCTTTATGCAGATTATTTGCTAATGATCTTCAATACTTTTTGCATCCAACTGTTGGTTTATGGGCCTAATTTGCTTTGGTTGTTGAGGTCCATATATTTGTCCTGAGTTTCTTCAACCTTTTTAAGGCCACTAGGTGAATTTATTCTTGTGAATCTAAATCCAAATCCAACCAATCCGGCTGTCATCTTTGCAACAGGCTGAATCTATGTTGGCCTAATAGAAAAGTGACTGTCTAACTAACATTAGTCTTAGCACGTTGTCCAACATAGTTACATTATGTTGTACCTATGCGTTGAGATAATCCAGCCATGTAGGACCGATGTTGACCCGAACAGTCAGGTTCGTGTCTTTAATATGAGAACTTAATTTGAAGTAAAATCACACTCTCTGTTATGTAAATACCATAAAATCATTATTGCAAATTGTAACCAGTGTAATTCTAATTTGGTTTTCATGAGTTTTTTAACAGATTGAAATGCCAAAGGTCATAGTTCTAATAAAAAGAAGAATTAATTCAAAAACATGTTAATTTCAAGGTAATTTTAAAGCTAAAGCATCATGTGGAAAAGGTCAGACAAGGTCAATCTATTTTATAATATAAAACATTAATAATCATACTGATATTATGATAATATTGAAGCGGTTGGCGCATCGGTTGTGGCTTGGACTCCCAACCTCGAGGTCGGGGGTTCGAAATTCTCGCTGTGCAAATCGCTTGTGTCCTTGGGCAAGGCACTTTATCTACAGTAGCCTCTCTCCACCCAGGAGTACAAGTGGGTACCTGGTAAGTTCCAACACAACTGCGCTGAATACTAGCTGCAATATTATGGAATAATAATATAATTTAATTTAATAATTTAATTTGGTGTTGAGTATGTGTTCCATATGTGTTTGATCCAATGACCGGGGTAGTAATGTGAAGCGCTTAGAGGTTTTATGCATGAAGCGCTATATAAGAACGACATGTTATTATTATTAGTGAATACATTCTAAGGAATAATTTAGGAGTCTTTAAATTTTGGACTCATGTATAGGTAATATTACATTTTTGTGCTCATCACCCACAATAAGGTGGAAAAATAGTGGTTACACCAATTTTCCTCTCCCCTTCCCCCCCTTCAATTTTTTAAATATAAAAAAATCTGCATCTTCATTAACTATACTTTTATTTTGTTAATGTGGTCAGTAATGTTGTACCATAAGCAAAAACAATTTCTATGTCTCTGAAAATGATAATAAAATATATCAGTATCTGTTTTTGTACAACATACCAAACAAATTTTTCCTCTGCAGCCTGACTTTATACACTTAATAAAATCTAATAATTTTTTCAAGCCATCTTTGGCTATCTGTCTATAAACTATAAATTGTAAAATTGCTAAGAATTTACTAAAATGGTTTTGTCTTGCCATTTAAATTGAAGTTAAGTATTCTGGTCTAAATTTAGGTATACAATGAATATGCTCCCTGCTACTGTTCTTTATTAGCATATTATAAAGCAAGAATTTGAAGTGTTCAATCACAATTTCATTTAAACTTAGAATCATAATTACTAACCTTTAAAATGCCCTTTGCTATTTAATATAAACATTTCTTTAGTTTGAGGAAATGATGAGCATAATAATAAGTCTATTAACCTTGCGTCTCATTTTTGGAGATACTTAGACCAAACAGTGCACCAAATAAAGGTACAGCTTAAAAAGTGTCTGAATTCGTGAAAATATTAAGCCGACCTACAGTAATTGTAAATCAATTAATGTACTGCTATGTTTTATAACATTGCAACTGTAACATTGTGGTAACTGTACGACAAATCTACACAGTTGTGAATCCATATTCTCTAAGATGATCACCACAGGAAGAGTGCCAACTTCAAGCCTAAATTACAACGCTAAATATCTTAATTTTCCCCCCTTAAAGTTTTTTTATCTTACATTATTACTATTATACACCCATACTTTTTATTTGCGTGTTTTACGTTAGGTCCTAATGGAGAAAAATACTGAACTAGCCTAGCTATAGTATGAAAGGCCTAGTAGCTTTTCTGATTTAAAAATAAAAGTATGTGTAACAACATACCGTAGTTTGTCATACGGCACGGTGCTCTAGTGTTCACCAAACTGTATGCAATTGAAAATGATGCCAAAATGTACTTTGATTGGCTGAATATATAACGGTCATCTTTTGGATAGAGTATTAATACGATACAAGTCTGCGTTTTTGGAACATGAATGCATCATAGTTAACAATAACACTTGTATTCAACACGCTACTAAATTTTCTTTTGACAAAAAATAGTTGTATGCCCATAGATATGGTCATGATGTGCCTACTATATATGAGGATGGTATATTGTACATACCGTATGGTCATGATGACATCACATCACATCATATTTAGACATGTCAATTGTTGTCAAATAAAATGTTATAGTCTGGGCAGGTCTTTTAGAAACTCCATGGATTATACACACATTGTCGCGTTTCCTCATTGTTATCTCATTCAAACTACTTCTCAGTTTTGTTTACTATAAAAGGACATATTTTTCCAATTGAAATGAAAGTCTGAAAAGATTGTGCAAACAATAAATTTTACTACAGTATGTTCTAATATAGTAAATTTCATTGTGTACTGAAAAAGCGTTCAAAGAAATATTTTTTGACGGTGGTTTAAAGATACAGATTTTTGCGTAACTACCCTTTTTAGCCTGGCTTATATTAAAAGAAGTGGTGTATACTAACTATCTTATTCTTAAAATTAATTCATTTGACAATCTTTTCAGTGTAGTTGTATTAATGGTAGTAGTTTTTGATATGCAGATACTTAACCAAGCATGCAGGGTGTGTAGACAACCACTAAGCTATTGTGCCACCCACTAGTTTAAACTTAAATAAATAAAGGTATATTTATTTATTTAATCATCTGAAAATGTGCATTTAAATCATTGGCTCTATATGACATAGTGTATTCTATTCAAAATAAATTTCAAGAGCAAAACTTGAATTTAAAATAGATTGAAAGTACTGTACACATTTTTTATTAGAAATATTGCCGCCAATCATAAAAGAATTAATATTATATGTCTTTCAACAGTATACGAGTGTTCGAACAATTAAGATATCGTCAATAAAATGTTAAGTTTATGGTCCACATAAATAATATAGACAGTCGACATATTCAGGGATCATTTGGCTGTCCTGTGCTTGAGATAATGAACAATTAGGATGATTGACGTACAGTAGACGTAGAAGATAACATTTTCCAGTGGTCTCAATCTCCCTCAAGAATCTCCTAAAAATCGGAAGAGCCTTTCTACACTCTCATAGCAATAATCTCCCTAAAAATATCCCATCTCCCTCAAAATAATAAAATTTAATGATGTTTTTACTGCTTAATTATCAGTCGTCTCATTGAAGTCAGTGCCAATGGCTATCACTATGTACAGTAAAATAAAATTTGATAACAAGAAAGCTCATTTAACTACCATAGATCTTCCGGAAGCCCTGATTTTTCCCTGTTGTAGCTTATTATACAAGGTACATGTAGGTCCTTTAGTAGTCATTGTTGGATATTGCCTGTCATTCATGTTAGTCAGCTATATTAAGTATCATTAAAATACTTCATTCTCTCTTCGTAATGCTTTGTCTACATTATCAAATTTTATGTGACAAAAAATGTGAAATGCCCATATATGGGTACGATGACGTCATATCACATATCAAATTGTACTGTATCAAAAAAAGTGTTAAACTCTATGTTCCATCAAATTTTGTGTGACGCTTTTTTAATGAAATTTGATATTGTAGACAAAGCATAAGAGAGTACAAAACATATTTTTTTTCGTATGACCCCCATCCTCCCAAAAAGTACACAATAATATAACTTATCTTTTACAAATTTGGTGCAAAAATCACAAATCAGAAGATAGAGGGAGGGGTGCCAAGAACAGCATGGGCTTAGAGCCCAACACAAGATGGGGGTATCCTCTAAACCCCCTGGCCAAACAAACATACAATAACAAAACAGCACAGAGCCAAAGGTGATACATCAGATTAAAGTAGTAGTATAATAAAATAAAATATGGCCATTTTGAGATGCTCATTTTTACCATTTACATGAATATACACTGTTAACCCTCTCCCAGCATACCTTTTTATTTTGTTTTTGTTGTATACGCTATGCTACCCCTCAACACAAAAATTGTTTTAAGTTTAGCAGGTGGGTTTATTCCAGCAACAAAAAAAGAAGGCAGGCAAACTATCAGTGTTACTGTAGCTATAGGCCTATATAATAAGTTTAGCAATAGGCTTATATTCTACTGTATGACTATAGAAAGCCCACATAAACCTAAAAATGGAATTTTGTTGCATAAGATTCAAAGTGCAATGTCTGAAGGCTTTTGTAACTGAAAGTAGTGCACCTGTGTGCGTGTGCGTTAAGGTAGTTGTGTATCATCGAAAAACTACAGATCCTGTTTGGCATTATGAAATGACCTTGAGGATGTCCAAAACGTTCCACAGCCCTTTGTGAACAAGACTGGGTTGGATAAATAAGTGCTTTTGTTCATATGTCACAAAAAAAAACCCAAAGTTTTAAAGCGTTCTTTTATAAAACATAGGTCATCTAAAAAAAATTACCAAATAACTGTAACTGATTCTTAAATGTAGTAGTAGTTCCAAGGACAAAATAATAGACAATGTCTAGTGTTGTATTAGTGATTCACTATGGATTTTCAGAAGCGGGAAGAGAAAGTGCATGTGTACTCGTACTTTAGTGGTAGAGTATTGCTTTCAGTTGTGAAATATTGTATGTTTTTTAATAAATAACCAAATTTAAATATGATTTTACATTATATAAACAGCATTATATTTCATATTGTAGAAAATATCGATGTTTTATTATATTTCATTTCCACTTTCTAATCATGAACACCACTATTGGGGATTAATTAAGTTGTTAATAAACATTTTACAAGTTTATGGATTATTTTAAACTTTTTAAATAATTGTAAATCGTGGAATCACGAGCCTTATCTTTAATATTTAGTAATAATAATTATTAATAATAATTCTTTATTTGTCATCTCATTCTAATTGGAAATTAGAAAATTTGGGCTAGGGACCTGCAGCAACCAGAGCACAGCACCATCTGATTTCAACACTGTAGCAGACACTACGGATACAAACATTGTCACTAATTCTTAATAGGAGGTTTGTTCGAGGAGCCAAGTGATCAAACACCAATTAAAACAAGACGCTTGCCAAGTTTGAACTGGGGAGTTCAGCACAAGAAGCAGACAATACCTCTCAGCAATCTGCTCAGCTCTCTGTTCAGTAACGGAGCAAGTTTTTACATAAACATCCTATAAAATGATTGTATTAAATCACAATAAATTATAGTGAATGCTTTAAGAGGGATGCCAGATTTCAAATCTAGACCAATTTTCATTGTTACTTATAAAAATATATTAATTTGTCAAGCATTGAAATCAGATGTCTTTATTTTAGGTAGCTTGTGTACACTGTGCAAACATGTAATTCTTTAATACTAGGTTTGTTTGAGATAAAAATGTGGAGTTTGGTAACCATTAGTGCATAAAACAACCAACATTATATCAATTGGCTGCTTCTTAATTTCCACCAATACTTCTTCCCATCGCATCTCATTCATATTCATATAATTCCCTCGTAAAAAAAAATATTTCTGATGCGGCAAGATGATACAAGAATACCACTCTGTATAGAATACTCTGTCGGCAAATGCTAGAGCTTTCAAAAAATTTAGTAGTAACAAAGTGGCATTTCAATTTTGCCATCGTGTCTCTTCAAGTCTTGCATGTAATTGATTTGCTGATGATTATGTGTATGTATCTTTTCTATTAAAATGTTGTAATGCTTGTTGAAAATGCTGCTACTGTAGGGAAACATTAGGGAAAACCCTCAAACATTCAATTAGCACATTGAATTCCAGATGTTAAATGATAAGTATTAAGTTATGATGCTACGTATGTTTCTTTATGATTATGAGTAATCACAGTGTCAAACATTAAAAAGTTAATGTTTAACATAAATCCTGAATGAGTCTCAAATATATTTGCATTTCTACCTATATGTTGTTGTTATTGCTATTATTGATGTGTGTCTGAAATGAATTCCTCGAAACACTAAGGGAAAACCAACCACTGATTAATTTTAAAAGGAATCTAAAATTTTTCAGGATATAAAACCGGATAATAAAGGGATGATTACTTTTACTGCTCTCAGTATTAATGTGGTATTTTTTTAACCACTACCGGTAATTGTGCTATATATTATTGTGTTGTCTTTTAAAGCTTCCAAACCATATTTTCTTTATGAATTAAATGAAATGCTAAATCTTGAATTATTTTGATTGCATAATACGGTTCTTTTATTAACAGGATATCAAGACGTACCATACATGGCACGCAGAAAGCAAAGCAGCTGAAAGCAGGCTAAGAAAAACAGAGGCTGAAAAGCAGCGACAAGAAGAAAAAAGGGCGTCGGCAAGAAATAAAGCACTTGAAAAACAACGTGAAAAAGTGAGTATAACTAATATGGACATTCTCATGCATTATTGTAAATTTTTTGCCTGCAAATAAATGTGTATGAATTTGGTAGTTGAGACTTGTGCATGAAATTACCTCCTATCATTTTTAATTTATTCGTTCTCTTTCCACTTACAAAATATACTTATAGTTTACTACTTATTTTTAGAATACAATACTTTTAATTTCATTATAATTCTATTTTAATTATTCTTTCTAAGACTGATCATCTTAAATGTTGTACTTCATGGAAATTAAAGTTGCATGAAAAAAACAGTGCTTTTAAGGAGTCACTTTAAATCATTTAAGTGTTTTGTTTGTTTCAGTGTTGTACTTTTATTCTAGTTCGAGTTCTAATAAACCAGTTATTGTGCCAAAATAATATAAATAAGAGAGAAAGTTCCTCTTCTATTTGCGTAAGACAATTACACAGTTTATTTAAAGAATGTTCAATTCCATATAGGCCTCTAGAGAAATATTATTATTTTTGTAGTTTTCTTTGTAAAACTACTGTATTTGCGGTATTTGAGTAGTTATATATCGAGTAACATTAAATAAGGATGTATAGTTAAGTATGTAAGTGTTTCCTGAGTGAAGAAGTTTAATGGTACTACGACATCCATCCGATATTCCAGGGTTGTTGTCCTCTCTGCATCCCTGGGGATTATGAACATATGAACACGGAATAAATTAAGGATAGGCAGGATGTGTTATTGTACAACCTGCCTTATGATTGTTTCTTTAGTCAAGCTTTAACGATAGAATCAGGAATCATATCTATATACTTTCTTCTAGCATGTTCCACAATTAAGTTTTGTCCTAAGTTTAAAGTGTTGGTTAATGATTATTATTTTTTTATGTATGGTGATTAGTTAAAAGGTGATACAAATTTTTTTTATATATATGTATTTTTGCAGAAAACTTGATTATTTTTAGTACATTTTAGTACAAATAGAAGCCCAATATGCCTAATCTCAAGAAAAGCCCATCTTGAATTGAAGGCCCCCCCCCCACCTCCCTTTATTTTGCAGAAGTAGTCTCGAGAAGAAGCCCATGGGCTTCTTTTAGAAACAAATAAATTCAAAACACGCTTGGTTTTAACATAGTAGTTTTAGGTGATTTAATGCCGGTTATATACACTCCATGATAAATACTAATGTTACTGTGGACCTATTTATTGTTTTGTAGTAGTAATTCACAAAATATACGGCATTCATTTTGAAAAGCAGCAGCCTCCTTTTTGCTTTGTAAAAGTAGTCTCGAAGAGAAGGCCATCTCGAAAAGTAGCCCATCTTGAAAAGAAGGCCATCTCGAAAAGGAGCCCATCTTGAAAAGAAGCCCATCCAAAGAAGCAGCCCAGGTCTTCTATTCAAGGTTTTACAGTGTACTGTTATACAGATGGCATTGTATTTAATATGTTTAATAATTGCAACCATCATTTTATTAGTTTAGGAAACCAATCATCCCGAAGGAACTTGCTGTTATGAAAGCCATTGTTCCCTTGTGATCAAATTTCTTGTTAAATGACCAATTGAGAAAAATATGGCTTGGCTTAACAAATCAAAACTTAAGGCCTGCAAGAAATATTCCAATTTTCATCGCCAGAATTACATTTTTAATAAATTTACAGTATGTAAAAAACTAGGTAAAATTTTGCAGTAGAATCGAGCCCTAATATCATTCAATGGCAGTTTGAAATCTATAATTGTAGCTAATCATTGTTTATGATATCCTTTATCATTACAGCATTTCCAACGTTTCCAGGAGAGGGCGATTGAATCGACGAAAGCAAGAAACGACTACATCCTGTCGATAGAGGCCTCAAATGCTGCCCTTCGCAAATATTTTGAGAATGATGTCACTGAATTAATAGATGTAAGTCCTGTTTTCAATTTCCACCTATTGTCTAATGTCATATACCTCTTCTAATGAACATTGACCTCTTTCAGATGATGTCACCCAAATGCTGGCTTTCCTTTGATTGTTGTACTTCTGGGAATGTGCCAATACACGGAGGTGGCTTCAGAAATTTGCCGACAGGGGGGTACATGAAGTCTGTCAGAGGGCTCCGAATCAAAGGGCCTCCCAGAGCCTGAGTCAGAATCCCGGAATAAAATTTGTGGTGGGGTTCATGAGGAAAGGTTATGTATTTTTAGACCTCATCGTGGTGTTGGACGATGGAGATCTTTGCTTGTTCTTTGACGGGAGGGCAATTGCCTAACCTGACCCTCTGTTGATGTCAACACTGGTGATACAGCTTAAGTGCAGTACAATTAAGGTGCATTCCTTTTATACTGAAGTTAACTTGTACAGTACAATTTATAGGTAACTGGTACAATTACAACTCTGCTTACAACCAAAGGGCTCTGTGCCCTTTTGAAAGCAGGTTGTACCCTTAATTGTTTTCTTTGAGAAAAATATTAGTGGATATAGGAAAACCTTTTCTGGATATTCACATCATCATCGTCTGTTCCACATTCCCATCCTTTGTATATGCCCTATACCTTTTTTCACTACTCTCTTTCGGTCTGAAGATCTGGTATTAAAAGTGATGAGTTGATGGTTTTTAGATCCTTGTTTATCATGGATCCATGTTGTTTTTGGTTTCCAGACAGGTCTTCATTCATTGCGACAATTTTGCTGGAGATTCATGTGGTAGCCTTAGTACATGTCCTGTCCCTCTAAACCTCCTTTTTATGGATGTCTACAGTATAATTCGAAATTCATATTAAAATTTTGAAGGAGATTTACATTACAAATTTCTGCCAGTATAGGGAGCTAGGGTTACTAATTTTGTCCATTGTCATATGATTAAAAACAAGTCATGTGATTATTATAGATGTCATGTGACAATGATAACATGTATTATTAAAATGACAAATGTGACTAACATTACGGGGATTTTTTAGGATTCAGAAGTCCGCGGTAGGTAAAGTCACGTGATAAAAATAGTTGCATGGTTAAAACTTGTCATGTGTTATAGTATGATCCAGAAGACATTATTGAATCTCAACGCTTATGTTTATGAGCTCAATTAGTGAGTTAACGACTGGTGATGTTCAACATGTATACTCGTTTGTAGATGAGAAATTAAATTGGCAACGAATTGACGTAACCTGTGATGCCTTTGAGGTATATTCGGCTTTGCTGCATACATTACATATGGACATAGAATTAAGATTTTCCAAATAAAGTAGAAACAAATCCACAGGGGTTCATCTTTCTTATAGATACAGACAGAACTTAAGGTCAATGAACTAAGAAAGATGGCATGTTTCTGCTTTAATTAAGATTAATGCTGTCAGTAGTTCGTCACAGATATATAGTAGATTAATTGTCCAATTTTATACTGTAAAAAAGAACATTGATTAATTAATGTAAGATATAAAATTGAAATCTTGAGTATTCATATTTTATAAGGATTAATCAATTACAGTTATATGCACAAAATGGATGATGCAAACAAAATCATCTTTTGATTTTAATATTGGAAATTAGTGAATAATTTTTACTATTATAGTAATTTCAGTCCTTCATGACATTGGTATGGTTAGTACAATATAAATTGGTGACTTCAACATTGACGTTTCCTGTTAAAATCTTACTGTATGACACTAAGCGTATAAGATGTAAATTCACAGATAGTCTGTACATGTATACTTTGATTAACCTATTTTCATATCATTACTAAGATATATTGTGAGATTTTATCATTGTCTATTTTTAGTTCAATTTCCTGATCATATTTGGCTCGCAAGTTAGATTATTCTTGTATAATCATTGTTTGATGTCATTTTAGATGATATTATATAAAAGTTTATTGTTATTAAACTTTAATAGTAATAACAATAATGTTTAATAATCATAAAAATAAAATATTCATAAAAACATAAAATAGTGTACAAAGGTGGATCTTTGATTATTACATTTTAAAATTTGTAATCGTTGTGGTAATGTCATAACCTTTTGTGTGAATATTTATAATCGCCAACATCCCATACTTCAAGCATAAGGGAATGAAGACAGATTGACCTTAAATTGAACTTGAAGTCTAACAATTCATACATCTTGAACTGTCACAATTTTTTGTATTAAAATCGTTAAGGTTTAGTTGCATACATACAAATGATTTTGTTCGTTGATATAACATTATAATGTTACATAGACATACATTACAAGAGGTGTTGCCTTCAAGATGCTTCGCTGCTGAACATAAAATAATAAATAATTTAGTATTTTTATTGTAGACGTTGAAAGACATACTTTCTGTGTTGTGCTAATAAATTTGCACTTAACATGTATTATAATATATGTTAATATTTTTAAATTTAAAAATTAAAATAAGATAATAAAGAAGTTTTACTTAATCAATCATTTATTTTGAAATTCAAATCAGTATAATAAAGAACAAAAATCAGAAAGCACAATTTTAATAAATACTGGATATGTTGTACTGTACACTGGCAGAGCTGTAACTAATGTAAAAGCTCAAAGCTTTTTCTATACAGTAATCTTGATTGAAAAACATTACTGGTGATAATACATATCAACATGTTTCAAGAAATAAAGATGTAATTGAAATTTATAAGCACAGTGTCTCAAAATTTAAATAAACTTAAAGATTTTTAATAGTAAAAAGTCAATGAATGACTGACTTGTTTTTATCCAAAGATGTAATTGAAATTTATAAGCAATGTGTCTCAAAAATTCAAATAAACATGAAGATTTTTATAGTAACTGACTGGTTTTTATCCATGTCTCATTTGGAATTTATTGAGTAATTCAAAGTTGTAATTGATTTTGTTACCAGACAATCATTATGTATTTGGTAAACATTTGTTATGAACGATAAGTTTCTAAAATTCTAAAAACCTCAAACTAGAAGATATTTTTTTATACAGTATCCAGGCATGTGATACTTTATCCAGTCTGTCAGTTGACATTTTGAAAATTTGTATGCAACAGAATAAAACCCTGCAAAATCTTAATCAAATTATGCTTCTATCTTTACGGTTTAGTGTTTGGACCTTGGTTACATCCGCTCAACGCGCAGAACCTTCCGAGCGTTTCTAACGGCCGAGATGCAAATGAAGGAGATGAGAGAGGATGGAATCACCAAGATGACAGATTGCGTTAACAGCCTCAATGCTCTGAACGATAAGCAGCTATTCATGGAAAGCAATAGTTCAGCTTTCGTGCCTCCGCAAACATTCCATTTTCAGCCTCATGGTGGGGACGAGGTTAGAAAATCTTTCAAATTATATATCAAAAATCTTTATTTTTTTAAATTTTTTTTTTGATAATTTCAAAGTTGTATATTTTTCTTGATATTTTAGTGTGAAAGAAAAAGAAATAACAAAAAAAAAATTCTATTCAAGTTCATTGAAATAATCAGAAAATTTGTTTAATGCTTATTTGAGTGTCGGAGAAAAAGTAATGACAAAAAATATTACTCATTATCTTTAAAGTTAGAGGTAATCTGAGGTATTTAAAGGCGTTTTGCTGCTATATATAAATAATTCCATTGAAGTTAATGAAAGAATGAATGACAGCAAACATCTCAACTTTTAATATTGCTTTTTTAATTTTAATTAATTAGTTAATAATAGTAATAATAATAATAATTAGTAATAATAATAATAATAATGTTTATTTATATAGCTTATTTTCGTTTTCTTTTCAATGTGTTTTCATCAAAAGATGATAAAATACAATATAAAATAGACAACAGTATACAATGAAATTACAAAAATATTAAATAGAAAAACAAAAATATAATTATTATTAATTACATTATTAAAATAATTAAAAATTTGAAAATTCAGTCAAAAAATAAATATTATTAATTGCATTAATTATATTGTTAAAGTGATTTTAAAACAGATCAAATAAATAGATTTAATTAAAAATATATTAAATGCTTTAATAGATTTCTCTGGAACTAAATTTATTATTTCAGATGCATGAAGTTAGTGCTCAAGATCCTCTTCATAAAGATTTATGTGAACGCTTCCATCGTCAAGAGGGACGCTTAAAAGAAGTAAGAGCAGAAAGTGAAGAAGTAAGTCATTAAATAATTTTATTATAAATTTACATTTTTGTTTTCTTTTCCTGAGATAAAATGGAATGGAATCTACAGATACATCACTAATGGTGTAGATTCCCCATCCATTAAAAATGATTGCATTTTATTAGTTCCTATGCATGTAATGCAATAGGAACAATTGTAATCACTCTTCACATTTCCTTTGTTTTTTATTGTGTGTAGTATGTGTGTGTGTAGACATTTATGCAAATGCGCATGCGTCAAAGAAAAGTTTTCCGACGTTTTGTTTTACCTCGCGATGCGAAGTTCGATGGGAAGTTTCTGCAGAGTTCAGTCAGGGCTCACGCTACCGATCGGCAAGTCGGCATGAATGAAACTATTTTGGTTTTACGGCAAAAAAATTCAACTGCTGTGGCATAGGTATTTTGAAGAAGACCTATAAATAAAACAAAAAGGTTTTTTAATACTTGCTGAAATACATCGTTTTTTCATTTATATCTCCATTTTTCACTAACTCCATGTGACATTTTTTTCTGTTGTATGAGTAGTCATATGAAGGTACTATATCCCCAACATTTGGCTTTGCAGCAATGTACGCTTTGAATGCAAATTGAAGACAAGTGAAAATATAAAGGTAGCCGAATGTTGGGTACATAACGACTATCTAACTTTCCACCATAGAGATATAATAAGAATACTAGAGCGCTAACTGTAATGTATTCTATGTTCGAAATACGCAGAGCTGTGTGTGTACCATCCAAGATGGCTGCCATAGATTTAGCCAATCAAATTTTGCCTAAGCACCATTTGTGCAGTTGCGCCCTCAATTTACACGGAAAGTTCAGTATGGCTAGTTACCCGTATGTTTGAAACTTGAGCATTGCGGTGTATGGGTGTAATGTACACGATTTTAATTTTCATTCCTTGGTACTTTATTTTTGAATAAGATGCTCCACTTGGCCTCATTTTGGCTACGATGTTTTTTTATAGCTGGTCACATGACTTACATTGGGTATACATGAAAAACATTACAGTGAAATAGTATAGGAAAAGATAATGTTATGGTTGCGAATACAACCACCGACTGTTAATGTGAGAAATAAATGGCTAGGAAAGGCAATACGATTGTTCAAAATAGTGTTTATTTACTTGTCCTAGCATTCACCAAGGATTGTACAGTATGCTTTGAAATTTAAGTGATCCTTCATAAACCTTAGCTAGCCCTAACATCGTAGAGTAGCTCACAGGTTTAAGAACCTCATGCTTAACTACCCATGCTGTAGACGTGCAGGGGCCTATACCTTAACATTCTCGCATGCGCAGATGACTTTTAGTGACGTCATTACATTTTATTTCCTAACGTCGTCGTGCAATTGAAAACTCCCTATTAGCAATCTCCATGTAAAACACTGCTGTGTCAGTCGATTGTTTATATCCAACACTTAAATTAGGTCACGTAACGCCCATCGTCGAATCTCTCAATTGATAATAATTGATAATGTAAACTTGTGATTAAACAATATATTTGTTACTCTCTTAACATATGATATAGAATTTAAGATTAGTATATCATTAGTATTGGTTCACAATGCATGATGCAAACTTCAGTACATGTATGTACAGCATTTGGTGACATTCACAATGAGTAATATAAAGTTGGGGAAAAAAAAAGTACACTGTTTATGCTTGCCTAGCTCTGTTCGCTTTTATATTTATTACTTTTCACTTCTTATGTTTTCAGATTCTAAAGACACTGAATGAACTGAAGAAGAATTGGGAAGGAGATGATAATCGTTCCCGATTCAAAGATGAAGAAGTTCGTACGGCATTCAAGACGGCCCAAGACATGGAAATACCAATTGAATTCAAGAGAACACCGTCTATGCGCCGACCGCCAAAGCCGACAGATACAGAAAACTACTTTTTAGATGTAAGCAAAACATGTTTAATGAATAATCAGATCGCTAGATTAGTAGTAGTAACTGATGTGTATGCCTAATAACTACAACTGGAAATAGAGCAGTTACTCCATAGAGTATAATTGTTTCCATTGTAAACGCTGTAGTTAGATTGAGGGCAGTATACTAATTAAGTTAGTGATTAAATATTATTCTAATGCAGATGTACTATGTAGCCAGATGTTTTTATTAATTACTTGAACAAAGAAATCAATTAATTGAGCCAGCGATGAAATTCGAGATTAGTTACAAATCTGCGCATTGCTTTAATGTAAACTATTCCATTCCAATTAACAACTACCATGATTAAAATTAGCAATTTCAATTGACTTCTCAATCTTATTCGACAAATTATGTTTTGAAACACAACAATCCATCTCTTAGTATGTATCTGACAGAGGGGTGAAAAGTTCATGAGCATTAGATTAACTGGCAAGTGGTTCTTGACTGGGTAGTTTCTATAGGATATCAACCTTTTCCTTTTGAAATATTGAAAGGAAAAATAAAGTGTTATCTGATAGGTTTTACTCCAGGTGTGTTTATGTCTGTTACAGCTATTGCAACTGTCATATCTATTGTTTATGAGCACTATATGGATCAGCGATTCCAAAAAGCCATTTGTTTTTTGGTGTTTAGGATTATAGTGGATTAGATATAATGTTGACCTTTTTGTTTGATGGGCCAATTTCTTTTTGTTTATTAATTTATTGATATTTTTTCTTTCTGATAAAGTTTTTTATCTTGAGGCGTGTCAGACTTTGTGATTAAAATATTAAAAACACACTTTTTATACCAATGATTCAAATACAGTAATTAAACGATGACACTCTCCAGTTTATTAGTTCAAAGGGTAAATGCTTGACGTCCAGTGCCAGGATCTTAGGTTCAATCCCAGGAATTTTTCTCAAGACAAAACAACTCTCCATAAATGTCATTATGAGACTTAGATTTACTTTATACCTCCTTGGTTTACGTAGAACATCTTGTGTGTTTGTTTGTTATGTTTGCTATGTGAAGGGATTGCCACCTATTTAATAGGACAGTGATTAATTCGCTATTAGGAATCCTTGGCCATGTGCCTAAAGGGATAAAATACAATAACAAATAAAATAAAAGATATATTTATGATTTACACTGCTTTTGTTATTTCTGCAGAAATATAAAGAATATCTAAAGAATACAAACATAGAGACAAGATTACAAGCTCGATATGATTTGATAAGCAAAGCGTTGGGTCATGGTGAGTAGAAATGTCATTGAATAGTTATATGATATGCAAGTGATACATTTATGTAATATAGTGTTGGATAAAGCTGTAGCCTATTGGTTAAGATGCTTGCTGTCTGAAGTTTCCTTCAAGTGCTAAGTTGTGAATTCTGATAGCACCAAAATTGTTCTCGCTACTAAAGGCGAGACATTTTTCATACCTCGTTTCGTGAACTTATGTTTTTAAAGATCGTCAGTAGAATGTAGAAAAAAATAAAAATAAAATTTTGCAAACAGTTTTACCAAAAATATCCCAACGGAGGAGAAAATAAAAATATAATTTTATTGGTGAATTTAAACAGTGTAGTAGTGGGATGGTTGAATGCTTTAGTTTATATAATTGGGAAGAAATATCTTATTTTTTGGATATTGCAAGGCTGCCGTGAGTGTAATAAAAATAAAGAAAAACTTTTATTTTTTCTGAAATTTCCATTTTTCCGTGGCAGCAGTGCGCTCGCTATTTGACCAAAAATAACATTTTATTTTTATTCGAAATCATCATTATTGGCGGGCGGCTAGTTCGCTAAACAAGGTAAAAAAAGTCCTGTCTTATTCGTTAAGATGCTTGCCGTCTTAAGTATTTAAGTGCTGAGTTGAAATTCTGATAGCTGTGAATTTGTTCTCATTACTAAATACAACTGCACAAATTGTCAAGCCTCATAATGAGACTTAGCAGAATATCATATTCCAACATTTATTTGTAAGTTGATGAGAGTGGAGGGTAGAAACTAATAAAAAAGGAAAATAGAAAGCGAAATAAGAAATAAGGGAAAGATGGGCGTAATATTGTTTTGTCTTGTGGAGGGGATATGAAAATTAAATCCCTATTACAATGAAATGTATTGGTCTTTTTTAGTATTTTACCCCACTTAGGGAATATAATTTGCCGTTATTGGGAGTGCATCTGCATCCCCCAGCCTACACCTATGAGTAATCTATAGAGACTGATCTTCTGCATCTCTTCAAGTGTATATGTAAAGAAATGTAACATAACTTGTATAATCTTACTCATTATGAAGGTTATAATATATATATATATATATATATGGGTGATTCCATGAAGTTGTGCCACAATGGCCTAGCATACATGGCAACGTATATATCACAATATTATAAGGTGTCACAGAAATCTGGTAATTGTGAAATATGCATGGATTCATAGTATAACCCTAGCGTACCATGATGTCAAATTTTGAAATTTCTGCGACTTCAATTTTTTTTTTTACCACCCATTTATTATGCGGTGTCCAGTCAATTTTAGTGAACATTTTGTGACATGATAAATTTAACCTGAATAGTATGTGATAAAGAGGTGAAAAAACACTGCAACTGAAGTTACTGTGTGATAGTCACATCCTTTAACAACCGTTTCAAAATAATATAGAAGATTAACAAAACAGCGTCTCTCCTAATGACGTCACAGTTTGTTTATTTTTTTCGTATCAAGACGTAATGCACGGTGTCACGTCAGAGTGTGTGTGTGCACGTTATAATAAATTAGGTTTCTATGGAATTATATAATATAAATTGATACATTTACATCATGACGTTTTTATGTATCAATTTACATTGGCTGTTAACTGTGTGTAAATAATTTATTCAAAAATCAATATTAATCTTTAATTTATGAATAGTAGGATAAATTAATTTATAATTGATTAATAATATTTAATTTATTATTGATTATATTTCTCATATTTTATTGTGTTTATTGGTTATTAGATACAGGTGGAGGAAGCATTTCCTTATGCGTCCCGCCAAAACCACGCAAACCTCGCCCAATGTCTCGGTGTGGCGCACCTTTATTCGGTGGCGACCTTAGAAAATACATAGCTGTAAGTACTACATATTATTTAAGTATCTACCAATGCACACACATGTAACTAATTCCTCCATGGTTTCATACACTGCACTATGCTATATAAGTATATTCAACCGTTCTACAAGTACAGTCAAGTCTGATAATCACAGTATATATTTTCTAAAATTTTTCTAGAACAAATTAACATTCACAAAATATTAAAATGTTTGCATGCGTGCTATTGCTACATAAATCGCAAGACTCAGACTTTGCTAAAAGTCTGTTACCATACAATAGACCTTTCTGCTAAGTTCTGCCCCATTGTTGCTGAGATCCCCACAAAATAGAAGTGTTAAAACATACGCAAACACATACTTTTGTGGGATGACGTGCCTACTCCTGGCTGTGTTCTGATTGTTCAGAGCACCAAGTTTGATTGACACTCCAGAAAGATCCATTGATGCGCAGACAGTGAAGATGCATGCAACGCCACAGTGAAATCTAAGCTCCGCCAACGTGAGCATGCGTATAGGACCATGCTAAATATCTTGCGAGTGTTACAGGTCTGCGATTGTTTTCATAATTATTTACCCTTTAAACAAAACTTCCCATTGAAAGATTTGTATATATTTGTTAATATATTTGGTTTTGTTATTTCAGGCAAGTGGTCAAGACATACCTGTTGTAGTCTTAAGCTGTATTGATCATATTCGTGACTTTGGTAAGAACAACCTTGCAGATTATATTAAATTATTATTTTTTATTAAAATAATTATTATTATTAATTGTTATTGCTAATATGCCTACATAATTGAATACAAAATAGAATTTTAAAAAGTAAAGAAACTAAAATATATAAAATAAAAGCAAAATTTAAAATAACAATGTTTCATTTATAAAGTTGAATTAAAATACAAAAAATTTGAACATGAAAATATTTCACTCACCAAATAGCAGATATATAAGCTGTTATTGTTATATACTTATTCCCAATAGAATATCTTTATTTACCAAAGATTCTGTCGCCAACCAGACGTTGGTTACCGTTCATTACGCCTGAATGACTTCATATGCTTTCTAGAATAGGCATTTAAAAATCTAATATTTTACAATCAAAATGTACTAAAAACACAAAAGCTTGCATTAGTTATCGAACACATATTTAATCATCAATTAAAATTTACAAAGAAAGATTAAGATACAACGTCTTAATAATTACGTTAGAAATTGGGACCAATGGTTTGTCAGTGGAGTTTAAATTGATTACAAGCTAATGTTACTATACTATGAAAATAATATAGATAGGTCATTTTGTGTCTGTTTTAATCAGCAAGAGAAGTATTTTTTCAAATAATTGTATTGATATTAATCCTCAATAATTTCCTATCTTGAATTGATATGAATTAAATGGGGTGGGGGGGAAAGTCATAAAAATGTGTGGTGTGTTTTTTTTTTGTTTTTTTTTTAACACATGCTTACTAATTCAGTAGCATAGCATGTACCCCTTGGGTGTTTTTACTACCCACTTCAACTTGCACTTAAGCGTTTCGGAGAAGGACACTTTAATAATTGCAATTCATACAAAATAATGAGTGTGCTCTCAGGGGAAATTAGCAGCCATACAACGACTCGCATTCTTCATCATTATATTTAACAGTAGCAGAAGGTTCATTTTTTTCCACTGCTGGTCAGAATTAGTGAATCTGCTAGTGTGATCTCCTTATTTGGTAATACAAGATCTGGCTATTATTATTATCTGACTCATAGGAGTAATAGTAATATCTATATTGCGGATAATTTAACCGTCAAGCCTGCTACAATAACCATTCCAATGCAATTCGTTTACTTTGATAAAATTTAGATGTTATCTGGGCAATTCTCCAAGATTGATTCATTTCATTCTACAAATCTCTTATTAAATTTGTTACTATATTATTATATGCCATCTATTTGGATGTATGAAAAATGAAAAGGATATTTGTAAATAGAATACGTTTTGTTTTATTTCTCCCTCTTGTAGGTTTGCATCATCAAGGAATTTTCCGTGTAGGTGGGTCACAGTCAGAAATTAATGATATTAAATCAGCATTTGAAAAAGGTAAGAGAATATTGGAATCAAACTTCAATCAATCTCATTTATTTATTCATTCATCCATTTAATTATCATCTCCATATTCTATAATAAAAATGTTTATTGACATTTTTTTTTGTATAAGTCATGAAGAAAAAGAAAGAATATTTTAAGGACCTACTTGCACTCTACAATAACTACCATAATGAATGACAGGGTTTATAGAAGTATGAGTTAATCTTAAAAATTTAAGGGGTTGTTGAATCAAAGCAAACTGTGAAAAAGGTAATTAGAGAATTTAGGAACAGTTTAGGTATAACTAATGTATGCAAGAATGTCTGAGGATCTTTTTTCAAAGCTTTATCTGTTAGAAAAAACATCATATACTTAGTTTCGATTCACTGAAGCCAAATCAGACAAACCTGAACAAAACCATTAATTCTCAGTATTCACATGCCATTCCCGAATTTTATTTTTCCAAGAAAGATGTTGGGCTCAAGGGATTTGGGAGGACGTTAATAAGGATTATATTGTGTGTGCGTAGGTTAAAAATGATGAGTGAATTCTTAGCGGTTTGAGAGAGAGTAGAAACTTGAGTAATGTGCTTAATGAGTGAATGCTTAAGCTCGTGAAGTGAGAGTAGGAAGTGGAGTCAAAATTTCTGAGGTCTGCATGACATACCCCAGTGAAAACAACAAACTTTAAAATTATGTCATAAAATGGTTACATATACGCACTTGGGAAAATTATTATCAATTTATTATTTGTAAGACTGATTATTATTCATTAATATTTTTAGGTTAAAATAAGACAGAATCTAGTTAAATAATATCAATTCAAGTTTTAAGTGAAAGTTTTAATTTTATTTGCTACAGATGCCAACGTGGGCTAATATTCGCTTTAAAAATACAATACATGACAATGAAGGCAATATACACAAAATAATAATATACAAAACCAAAAACAAAATTTGGTGCAATTGTTCGTCCGCAAACCCAGGTTTACATTTCAAGAACATGCTTAATATCGATCGTGTTGGAAGAAAAGGGGTTGAAGATTTTTAGATATTTCCCTGAGCTGCTATAGTAGCTCAGGGAAATATCAAAATATCAGAATTATATAATCTTTATCTCACTTTCTGTTAGCTTTTGGGCCAGAATGTGCAAGGCATGGGTGATACCCCAATAACCCTACTACTCCAGCCTGTAAACCCTGAACTTTCAAACTTTATCTTTTAACCTTTGTAATGTTTTATAATTGTAGGTGAGGATCCATTACCAGAGCGAGGGGAATCAGCTGACATCAATTCAGTTGCCAGTGTACTTAAGTTGTACTTCAGAGAACTTCCGGAACCACTCTTCCCAACATTTATGTTCAAACAGTTTATGGAATGCATGGACTCGGGTAGGCATCTCATTCAAGTCATTGTTCCATTGTTTCTCTGTGTACTGTATTCCTGCTATTTTGTGTTGTTTTAATGTATGAATTGTTTTGTCTATTGCACTCTTGAGAGGGTGTAGACACTGCTAAAGAAGTGAAAGGTCATGTTAGTTGAACCTGTAATATATTTACCCAGGTGTCGATAACTTCTGAAGGCTATAAAACTTTGTGCTTGACATATAATAACTATTACCTATCCTGGATTCAACTTGGTAAATGGTATAAAAGACCTGGTTGATTCCATATGTTAATGTAATTAAAAATCCTTGTTTTCCATGACCCACTTGCAATAAAAAAAATCACACTCTCTTGCTGAAAAAAGAGACATAATATATATCAACCTTCTTAAATGCGGCAACAAACATAACTTAGTATGTGTGTTTTAAAATACTGCAGGAGTAGCGAAAATAATTTTTTGGAATGCATGCTAGTCAAGTACCATTTAGTATTTATGTTTTTTTACCTGTATGTATCATATAGGTAAATGATATAAGTAACGTACGAATTCTTGAATAAATGGTTTGAATACAAGCCCGCAACTGTATGCATTCAAATGTTTTTGTAAATATTCAGGTGCAACAGCGCCCTCGGAGCGGATATCAATGGTTAAGAATCTTATTGAACAGCTTCCTGATGACATCATGATTGTGATGCGTTATTTGTTGGCTTTCCTAAAGCAGTAAGTGTTCATTAATATTGTTGTGAATTAATATGAATAAATACTTTAGATTGATTTTCTCTTTTAATATCATAATAAGGATGATCCATCTAGATGAATCTTTTGACAACCTTTGATTTCAGGAATTCCTGAGAATAGTGTTTACTTTATATTTGTACATTTAAGGAGGAAAACCTGTCTGAAAGGGAGCTCTTAATGTATCAAGCAGAGGCCAGTGGGGTGGGGGAGGCCACCATTTAGGGTAACATCGTTACACCCCACTTCTTCCCCCCTCCCCCCACTTGATCTGCACCTGACAACAAAATTACGATCTGTAAATGACAATTTAAAGCATTCGGAAAAATCTTAGTTTATACTACAGGTCTAGCTAGTAAAAATTGCCGAGACTGCCGACCTCAGAGAATTTAAGGTCGGCAAATTTTTGCCAACCTAATCTTTTCTTAATTTCATGGCATATAGGGTGGAATGACCTTTCCTCACAGCAAACCCTGCCATAAGCTTGACTGCTAAAATTGTTTTTGTGTTATGATAAGAATCAAATGAAAGCTGAACAAAGATAAAAGGAAAATTGAATACAGTAGAAAATCCAAAGTTACCTAAATAATTTCAAAAGGAAATCATTATTTTGCTGTAATTTTCATATTATTTCAGTTTGTCTCAGTACAGTGATGAAAACATGATGGACTCGCATAATTTAGCAATATGTTTTGGTCCAACACTGATGCCAACCCCACCCAACGTAGACACCCTTTGTTACCAAGGACCTATCAATGAACTCATTGGGACGATCATTCGTTACCAGGAAAATATTTTCCCTCGTGAGTCGGGCCGTATATACGAAGAACATGGCCTCAATGATGCTGACATAAGGTGAATCGGCCTGGACCATACCTTTTTACTTAGTTGGTCTAGATTGATATTTTTTAGTTTGCATAGAAAAAATTCCTTAAAAATTAAATCTCAATTAAAATCTAAATTTATTATTACCTGTCTGTGAAACGCAGATCAGAACAGTTTTCACTGATTTACAAAATTTCTTAATACGAAAATCATGATTTTATCTCACAAAATAATTTTGTATGCTCATATTACAGTCATGATCTGCCTACTGTATATATATACTGTATGGTCATATTGTGATGTCATCCTGACCATATCCAGGCATGAAACTCTTGCAGCCTTGGAAATAAGATTTATATTGTGCCGATTCGGGGCACATTTATAACATGTTTGTTTGTATTTCTTACAGTCCATCTCCTAGTCTAGATACCATTACTGATCTAGGTAGTGAATTTGGAGATGAAGTCAACAGTGGTAAGATTTTATAAGTTATGCTTCTACTCGCACTTAAATACTGCCCTCTATATCCTTAAAGCAAACAAAAAGTCATTTCTACTAACATTTATAGAAAAAAAATTGTAGATTAATTTTCAAATTTGATTCGCATCATAAGCATATCCTGTTTCATTCACACTAACAGATGGAATAATTATTACACGTTTTTTTAGGTGAACACGTGCGTCGGTCACCTCTCATTGACGAGATTCAGCTATACATAGATGGGCATAGGGCCTAAGATATCCTTCCTCCAATTCACAATCGGTATTTCACTCTCAAGCACGTTTTTTGCACCTTTCACTTTACAGCCATCTTGTGCCCCAGACAAGCATATTTGAAATAAATAACCCTGTGCCCTGACCATGCATAATTCAGTAAGCCTGTGGGAATTGTGAATGGTTTTTTTCTTATTTGCTAATTACACGTTGCTCATGTTGGCCAACATGTAACCCTAACACAAATTTTGAATGACCAACTTTGCATTGCAATTTATAAAACTGCTATGGGACTAAGCTAGTCCAAATAACTTGAGTGTGAGTACACAAGAGTTACTCTATACTCAAATAAAGTAGTAAATTGTTAATGAATATGCTGCATTGAAGTGCTTCATTAAGCAATACTCTTTTGAATCTACTTGAAAGCATCTTTGAGCTGTCACAATGTACTAACAATAACAAGCTAATACAAATTTTAAAAATTTTCCCCTCGAGCAACTTTTCACAGTTTGTTTCTTATTTCTGTAAACAAGTAAGTGTCTTAACTGCTTAAGTCTGTCACGTAACTCTCTCGTGTTTTCCTCTGGTTTTTCTAGTACGGCATTTTGACGTACACAACAATTTGAATGACCACTACCAACAGCTAAATCAAGCAGATCCGTGCCCCATCGTAAACCAGCACCAGAACGCCGAAGCGGACAGCAGCACAGGTCATGTGGGCCACCAAGGTCCGGACATATCACCTTGGTTGCCCAGACGACCGTCAGGCCCACTGTAAGTGATTTTATAACTGCATTGTGTGAACGTTATAACACGGGATGTGTAGAAGTTGTGGGCTTTCACATTTTGTTATATTAGCTGGTTCTTTCCAGTGTATTGCATGTTTCATTGCGGTGAACAAAGTTGACCATATGATCATCAAGAACAATTGACCTGACCTGATTATTTACAGACGTGTGATTCCTAACACAGAAATACCGAAAAAACAGACACAAAACAATGCAAAATTCCTGCCCTTTTCCTCCTTTCTCATAGTGGTCCTAATTCTTGAAATTCCAACCAATATGTTTATCCTTCATGTATCCAAATTCATTAGTTTAAATACGTTGATTGATATACTATGGGTGTGAATAGTATGTTTAGTGACTTCAGTTTCATTCCATTACATTGTCATCTGCTTTATTTTCATTCTGCACACACTATTTGCGTATTTATTAAATTGTATTATGCAGTTACTATATGTGTTATACTAAAGTACGGTTAGCACATGTGTAATCACTGTATATGGTGTAAATAGTACATGGGTGCTAGTGCTGGAAACACAGGGATACTTACTGTGGTGTCACATGTCCTTATTTTAGTGTTGTTAGCACATGTGTGCTTACTGTAGTGTAGTCAACACATGTGTAATATACAGGTCAGCCCATGCTTACTGTAGTGTTATCAACATGCGTGCAATTAAGTGCTGCTAGCATATATGTGTGCCTACAGTGTTATTAAAGTGTGTGTAATATACAGGTCGGCACACACTTACTCTAGTGTTATCAACACATGTGCTGTCTGCATGTGTGTGCTTCCTGTAATTGTATGTACTCATGTGTATACAGTAGTGCTATCAGCTGAGGCGGATGCAGGAATTGGCAGTAGGGGGGTGCATGGAGTAGAGAAAAATTTTTGAGAATATGGAAATTTCACTCTCATACCTTAAATTCTTACCGGTACTAGGCCTATGTTCTTACCAACAATACAATAAAAGAATTATTTTTCAACTTAGGGGGTGCAACCCCACCCCTGCATGCGCCCCCACCAGTCAGTACATACAGTATGTGCAATTATACAGGTCAGCACAGGCGTGCTACAGTGCTTACACGTGTGTACATAAACAGCAGTCATCAAACCATTCTTAAATGTTCATCAAATCAGTATTTTAGATAGAATATCATATTTCATCTATCAGCAATTGGTGAGACTATATAGTAAATTGCGTTTTAGTTGAGTTGGTGTAGTTAGTTGGTGCTAATCTAGCCCATCCCAGTGTCTTTCAGTGGAAATTTTTAAAAGTACAGATTTTGCTTTCTCAGAACTATAACAAATCTGCTTTCTTACTGAACATCAGTTAAGTTGTTATTTGTTGGATGAAGCCTTGCAGCGCCAGCAGGGGGATAGTAGGGGCTCAAAATGATCCGTTGCATGCACGTTAAGGCGTTGCATTCTTCATAGAATCACATCGGCCGATGGCTATTGGTCACAGTGAGTTTGACCCTGCCATTCCTACATCCTGGGCTAAGTTCTTCTAGGATCTGGTAGGCCTACAGTGAGTTTGACCCTGCCATTCCTACATCCTGGGCTATGTTCTTCTAGGATCTGGTAGGCCTACAGGAAAAATAATCCCTGCCTTATGTGAAACTGGTTTAAATAAGAATCACATTGTTAATTTCTATCTTATATTCAGTCCCCATTCTCTTCTTTTCAATAAGTGTAATATGTTGTTTATAACACTACAGTCATTGCTGAATCCCTGATACAGAAAGACACATGAAATCTCCCCCCCCCATAAAATCCCTCCCCCCCCCCCCCACTGAGCAAAATAAAGATATTAAAACAAAACTGCATGGTGGAAGAAGGCAAGCCAAGGGAGGAACAAAGTTCTATATGTAAATGATGATAATAATAATAATAGTTGGATTTGTATAGCGCATTATGTAATTCAACTGAAAAAAAAAGAGAGAAGTAGAATTGAACCAGGGATCCAAAGATCTCCATGGTTCAATGCACACACAATGGCTACCAACAGTTCAGCCAACTGAGCTATATGCTTCTGTCTACCAAATGTTTTAATCAAATCCAATTCTCTACCTGTTGTCCAATCTTATACAGCAAGAGGCCGTCGGTGAATGGAATGGTTTAGAAGCCCCTTTTTGCCAAAGTACACGTAAGAACATGATAAATAAAATACAGTTGTATAACCTGCAAGAACATAAATAAGAAGTGTGTGGGAATCACTATTTCTTTCAGCAATTTCTGTTTTGTTTTTCTTTTTTTAATAACATGCATCTATACTTCTCTTCTGTAGTCATATCTATGTATTATATAGCTTGGAGTGTAGTGGTGTGGTATTATTATAAGCTCTCTCCAGTTACCAAATTTTCTTTGACAAAAAAAAACTGATGTATGCCCATATATAGTCATGATGTGCCTATATATGGTCATGATGTGATGTCATCATGACCTTATTTAGGCATGTCGCATGCTTTTGCCAAATGAAATTTGAGTGTTTGGACAGAACTTTACATGTTATGTTGCACAAGCACATTGGTAGATTTAGTTCAGTAAATTGTTAGCACTAGCCATAAACTGTCAACTTATCTTGGCATACACTCTCAGATTTTTGATTCATATGAAAAAAACCAATCTAGCGGTCGAGCGATAAGGCAGGGGTGCCGGTAATTACCGTTCTTAACTTTGGCGGTGGTACGAGACCCTTCTTTACCAGGGTTTGCTTGGGTAGGAAATAATCTTTCAGATCATGACTTCACATCGGAGGTCTATTGCACACATGTGGCTCGTGTGAACCCATTAAATCCACCCATTGTGGAATAATGTGTACACAAAGCTACTAAGCACCTCTATGGCTGCTACACTAGTCATGGCTCTTCCCCATATACAATTACTGTAAATGCTTGAATAAGCGCTGCCGAGGCGCTTAATTGAGAGTATATTACCCTGTGTGTAACAAAACACTGGGAAACAGGGTGGTAACTATAATGTTATACAGTGTTGAAATGGATAAATAGGCAATCACGACAGGATAAAAATGCGTGCAGTGTTGAAGAATACAAACTACGCGATGATATGTCATCGTGTCGTTATCGTGTCTAGTGTCAATCTATCTTAACAGACAGAAATCTGAGAGCATATGCCAGACTTCAGAAGCATTTTTTTATCGGTACTTTTTTTTTCAATAACTTGCAGCTGTGTAAAGAAGTAAATATAATAAATATTCAATATTCTTAATTGCAATGTTACCGCAAGAGGATAATATTTCAATAGCAAAAATTTACTCTATTTATGCCTTTAGTCCATAGAAACAAATTTCTTAGTACTATTAATGGAAATAAAAAAAAAAATTGCTTAGTTTTAACATTGAAATAGATATAATACCTTTGTTAATAGAAAAAAAAATTTTCCATATCTAATTAGCATAAATGAATATGTATTAGTTGAACACATGCTTGTGTTTTGAGTGGCTGATATTGATGCATGTATTTTATTGTCTACTGACCAATATCATAATACTATTTACATACAATAATGATGGAAAAATGTGTATATTGTTTGTAGTAATGAATGAACATTTCATAATACTGTACTTTCATGCCTGTAATTGTACTGACATTAAGTGCTTGTTTGTGTATCATTTATTTTGTGTGTGTGTGGGCTCCAAATAGGTTATTATCTTCAGTATGTACTTATTGTTATTTTGTTTTTCTCTAGAAGGACTTTAAGTGACCCATCAAACCCACTGGATGTAGTAATAGAAGAACCAAAGACAGCAGAAAATAAACCGAATGACCTGCAGGAGAACTCCTACAAGCACATGGTCCAAGAGATCGATGATAAAATGGCGAACAATCTTGCAGAATTAGACGAAATTCCAGAAATCCCACCACCCACTCATACTCCGGACATAGTACGAGATGCGATAAAAGCTCCCGTTAAAGTAGTCAGCCCACCTACAACCACAACATTACCAAAGCCAGCAATCAGGCCCAAGCCTGTTAGACCATTACCTAACCAGTCGTCTTCGCTCAGTCGACAGAGGCCTAGCCCCACTGGAGGGCCAAACAAGTCTATGACATTGTAAGGGAAAATTACTAGAAAAAGTGGATTCCAAGCTTTGAATTTCCTAACCGTATAGTTATTATAATACTACTAAAATGTGAACTCCAATGCAATTGATGTCCAATCCGTAAGCTTTACCAAGTAATTGTACATGCAAAATGGTGGTTCACAATGCACAACCATGAAGTCCTAATTAGAATATTTAAGTGTGCATTTGAAATTTTGACTTATAAATTTCAGTTTTTGCATGCACATAATATCCTTTTGAAACAAAAACTAGGATAAATTTTAAAATTCTACTGTGACTTAATACTGCTTCACCCAGTCGACCATTTTGGAGCATGTTGGCATTCTCATATTCCTATAATAACTATATTCCTTATACAGTACTATCAGTAGTATTGATATCCTGGTTTCTTATTCTGCAACTATTGTTGTTGTTGTTAGCTCAAGTTCAACAGGTTTTTATTGATTAAATTCGCTTGGAAATGAGCGATTACACTGCCTTGGCCGATGGTCAGCTGACAGTCAACTGTGTGCGAGTGGTCGGCGACGAGGTACTGTCTGCTGATCATCGGTGGCAGACTGAGCTGGAAAAACCTTCTACATGCCCCTTGTCATGTTGTGGTATCTTTTAAATTACGTCTCGACTATGAAATGTGTGCTCTGTTTAAGACATAATATAAAGCATCCTTGCTGCGATTCTATTGTGAATTTTAAGCAGTACATTTTCAACCGAAAGAGTTGAGGATGTAAATCAATTCCTAAGAAAGCAAATGTTGTGGAAAAAAAGGGTTGCCGTTAAAAAGCAGTGCAAATTAAATTGTCTTTCAAGTAACTGCATTCATCCGATATTAATGTCGTTTTTTTTTTAACATTAAAATTTGTAATTTTTTTTTACGAATTTTACCAAAATCTTATTTTTGCTGTAATTGCAATCAACAGCAAGTTAATATTCATAATTATGCCATTTGAAATTAGGTATTTTCGTGTATAACAAAAACCATCTTTATTTTAATGTAATCACAACAATGTTGCCAGGATATTTTCTATTTCATATTAAATGTGAATAATTTACAGAAGTTATAGATTTATTACAATGCTACAGCATTATATTTAAATTAAGAATTTAAAATATGCAAATATGAGGTAATATGATTGGCCCAGATGTTAATTTACGTATTATCTACTTGGAAAGCATTTAGGAACCAAATATAGAACAATTTCCCCAATGCAATGTCACAGACTTGTTTAAAAAAATATAAAAATGCACAAAAAAAAAAAAAAAATATAAAATAAAAAAAAAAAAAAAAAAAAAAAATGCAGACTTTAGAGGGCAATGCTGCATGTACATAAAAAGTGAAACTAAAATGCAAATGACTAATTCTTATTATCAATATTTTAGTCCAAAAAAAAATCAACAAATTTTAGACCAAAAATGTGCTTCTATTTTGCTTGTTTGTTGCTGTGTGATTGAAAATGCATTAATAATTTTAGATTACTGTGGATATTGTTTTGTTTTGAAAAAAAAATCTCTTTACTTTTAAAATGGAAGACCATTTGTTATTCATAGATTTTATATTATTATAATAATGGTTCATACCATTATCAACCACCTTTTTGGAAGCCTGATTTTTAATGAAAACCAGAAAAAGTAACTTGAACCCTATGCATATTTTTGTAAGCCAAGCCAGTAACCTAGACAAAAACATACAAGACTTTTGCTGGCCGAAAGCTTTTGGGTAAAAGATGCATGATTTTTAACTCATACCAAGGAATTTAAGCTCATTGTACAACAGCTAATAGGTTAATATTTTTTAAAGTTTGTTTTTATTATTTCCATTGTAAATAGTTGATGGCGACTACCATCTTAACCTTTGACCTCTTAAATGTGCATTATTTACACAGAGCATGAAGCAAGAACATTTTGTGTTTTTGGGGGAAAAAAAGTCATTTATTTGGCATTTGTATATTTCGTGTATTTAGCGATATATAGTCATTCTTGAATGTATTCACAGAACCTAATTTCGCGGAAATATAGGTTCCAAGAATTCATGAGAAAATTGTAACTTTTACAGATCAACGTTAGTATTTTTTCTAATATTCTTAATTAGCACGATATTGTATACTTTTTGTTCTGTAAAAAATTTATCCTTATGTTTTTAATTTGTAAATTTCTTAGTTTTTTTCTATATATAAATTTTTGAAGTTGTTTAATTTATGTGTATATGGTACTTTGATCCTCAGAAGACTGTCAGATATTAATAGATATTATTAATCATTGTAATTAATTCTATTCTTTTATAAACCTGCCTTGATATATTATTAACTGCAGGTTGTTAAACTTCATCCACACTGTCAACGTTTATGTGACAAAAATATATGCCCATATGTGGGTGTAATATGACATCATCATACCCATATATGGGCACATCACACAAATCTGTCACATCAGATTTTATTGTGTGGGCTGAATTTATTTTTTAACAATGGTGTTGTCATAATCCAGCATCCCTTCCTTTAGTCTAATGATAACATATAAAGAAAATTTATAATGATACAGATCTTGCTTTCTCCACCTATAGTCTACCAGTTGATATGTGAGGTGTACCTTTTTTTTTTGTCTATATTTATATTTTATTATTATTACATCAGTAAACAAGGGAGGAAATATAAATTGCTACTTAATACCATGTCATTTCGTATTCTCCATTAAACTCTCCATGTTCAAATACTAGTACACTATATAACGAGCTGAACAAGTTCAGAATAACACAGACAGGAAGCACTGTGGTTTACTGCTGACTATATTGTAAAGCACATGGGTTTTATTATTGCATTATGCACTATACAATAGTGAGGAATTATTGTTTACACAAATGAACTGGAAGAGAATTGACATGATTGAGGTGCTCAGTATTTTTATTTATTTTTTTTTTATATTTGGACTATTTTTATTCGGTGGATTATTTCTCTACATTGTGTAGGTGCTAAGTTCTAAGTATGAAACTTTGTACTAGCATGTAGGTATTATGGTTCTTTAGGGACAGATCTTGAATGGCTGATGTGCCTGTGATCTTCACTAGCTAAAGAATTTCTTAAGCCTTGTCTACACTATCAACTTTTATGTGACAAAAAAAGTTTTGGTTGTAATATCATCATACCCATATATGGGCACAACACACAAATATGTCACATAAAATGTAATACTGTAAACTGACCTTAATGAAACTTAAAGAAATTATTACTATAGGCCTAATTAGATGGTAACATAAGGTACATTATACTAATTATAATTTTATAATAATTACACTAATTATAATTAGTATAGTTAATTATATTATAATTTGTATTAGCAATTCTAAATTACCACAGGAGAAATTTATTTTGTAGAATTAATAGAATTATGAATACTCCACAAATCTTCCAATGAATTGAACCCTACTATTACCTTCCATAATTTTCTTTAATAATATTTAATATAAATAACGAATTACAGGATGACTTTAAGTTATACTTGCAATCTATTAGAAATTGTATTAGGTATAAAAACCCAAAATTTGTATATGTTTTTAAAAATATGTTTTCCCCTCATATGTCTTCCTCAGGTTACCAAAACTCACCTAAGATGAATTTTAAAAATTAATATGTAATATCGCAACCCAAAGGTTATAATTTTGTAAATTTTATTGTATGAAGATTCTTAAAATTTATATTGATGATTTAATTAAGATGCAGCTTATCAGATAGATTTGCTCAATGGTATCGAATCACATGCTACAGAAATGTATTGAATATAAAATGTACTAATTATTAAATGTTAACAAATTGTACCATGGATATTTTCCCTATCAAGGATTTGTTGCGAGAATGCATATCAATTAGCCAATTCATAGTTAAAATTGCGCATGCTCATATCCATGGTCGATCAAGGTCAATTGACAAACCTATGTTAGTGTGTACGGCGTTTGTCGATTGTCCTTGATATGCTAACAACAAATGGGCTTATACCAGTGAGATTTCTCTACGTCTTGGTCTCGGTAATGTGGTGCAGCAGATCTTTCATTTTGGCACCGTGCATATCTTCAGTCTGCTTTTAAATAGACCTTTTCGGAGTGTCACTCAAACTTAACAACTGACCAATCAGAAAAGGCCCAGGAATATGCGCGTGTCCAACAAGCGCACATGTTCGTGTATGTGTTTACACTGTCATTTTGTGGGACTTTAGCAACAATATCCAATGGTCTTGGCTTAGTGGAAGGTCCATTGTACAGACTTTTAGCAAGGTTATATTTAGTCGTGTGAAAGCAACACAACATTATATGGAAATATGGAAGAAATATCTCCGTTAATACTTAGTACATTTTTATGTTGAGTGAATCATATGTAGTCTGTTCGCTGGAATCTCATTTTGTGTGGATGTTTTGTACCATTTCTTTTAAATCAAAGCTATTTCCTTTCTTATTACTGAGTTAAAAATGATTAGTATTATCGAGATTACCTATCATTATCGATAGATAATTAATATTATTACTTTATTTATCATTATTATTGGTAGCTTGACTAAAGCGCAGACAATTATGTTTGCACTGTTGTCTCTTGTTGCCATGGTGATGGGTAGGATCAAGAGATAGAGTTTTGTACTGTTATACAATAAAGGGCTTAACTCCTTAAATGATAACATGTTGTTTTTTCTTTTGTTTAGCATTCCAAACACAGGACCCTAGCAAAGAGTATAGAATTACAAGAGCAATGGCAGATCCAGGAATTCAAAATAGAGGGGCCCCCGGGGAGGTACTTCCATAGACGGAGGATCTAGGCCGACGTTCCGCAATCTAAAGTCTGCGGCCAAAATTTGGGCCGCGAAACATTTTCAGAGGGCCGTGAAGAAGTCTTATAAATTAAAAAAATAATAAACAAATATACGTTTCATCATGGAGAAAAGTTTTAATAAAGCCGCTTCATTGTTACAGCGAATGCACAGCTTTTACACGCTGCTAAAGTGCCAGATGATGCGTGCTGTTTGATTTATAAGCAGTTTTTGTGTTTATGATCCCTCGGGGGCAAGACACTATATATGTTATCATCTAGCAGTCTATTTAATTTGTATACAATGATATGATATGGACCATTTTTGGTGACAAATTTGTTTGATATGGACATTTTTTTGTGACAAATTTGTTTGATATGGACATTTTTTTGTGACAAATTTGTTTGATATGGACATTTTTTTGTGACAAATTTGTTTGATATGGACATTTTTTTGTGACAAATTTGTTTGATATGGACATTTTTTGTGACAATTTTTTTTTTGCCACAAAAAATTTGATAGTGTGGACAGAGCTTAATACTCTTAATTAATTATTTTTTAATTTTTTTTAACTTATAAATATATTTATTTGCTTTATAATCAAAATTCACATTGAAATTTATAATCGAAATTATGGAGGTGGTTACATTATACAGTATAAATACTTTTATTAACAATACCACTGTTATAAGAGGAAGCTTGAAGATTTTGGATTCACAAAACCTTTAATTGCACCAATAAATATTTATCTGTTATAACATGAAAATATTTTAAATGTGTATCATACAGGAAGGACACAAGCATTCACATTGAAATTCACATTGCAATATGAAAACATCATCATAATGTCAACATTTGCCATCTGTATATCTCTGGCTCCATCAGCATATCAAAATATATTTATGCACATATTCGCTTGACAAAATCTTTCAACTGCAGTACAGTACTGCACATATATCTTTGACTTCCATTCTGCTTAAAGTCTTGGCAACAACATTTTCATATGCATTTTTCTGTGACATCTTTCATCTACATTTTCTTTTTGCCAAATTTTTTCTGCATATCTCCTTGACAATACTTTAAATCCGCATGACAACTTTACCTGTATATTGACATCATCTCCATTCACATACCACCTTGTCCATATCATCTTTCATCTATATTATTCTGATTCACACCATCTCATTTACACATCCCCTTAACATACTGTATCTACTCTTCAGAATCAAAAGGACATATCTCTGTCTCGTACTGTTTCTTCAAAGTGGTGACATATTCCTTCAAACTCTCTTCATCAAGCCGTGAGTTACGAGCCACCTGTATTAACCTGTTGGCCAGGTGAAATGCAGCTCTTTTTTGTCTTGCTTCCTCACTATCTTTTCCATTTGACTGAAGTAAAGAAAAAAGTTGAAAAAAGGTATGAAAAAGGTGATGATGAATTGGCAGACTTCCTGCTGATAAATAGGTACATTTATGTTTGGGTTCAAAAAATAATTAAAAAAATAAGTCAATATTTTATTTACCATATTTATTTGAATTAAAACCCCACTTTGAATAAATGCCCCCTTGAATAATCTCTGCCTCGAGTGCCTTATCGCCCCGGGTGTTTGTTTTTTCCTCAAAGTAAAAAGTCTGTAAACCAGTGAAAGCTTTTTTAAATGTTTTTTGAAAGTTGCAAAACTTATTGGATCCTATCAAAAGAGTAACTCGATGTTTTAATTTAAGGTTTTTTTTCTAGATGTTGCTAAAGAAACTGTCTCTTATAAAAATAAACCTACATTATATTGCAAAGAAAACAAGGTGATAGAAGCAGGCCCATAGCCAGGTTCTTCCAAGGTTCTCTGCGCTTGAGGTCCAGGGTCGAAGCCCCCAAAGCCAGAGGATTTTTGTGTTTTATGGGTCAAAATAATGCTATCAAAAGCAGATATGTTTGAAAATGTCAGAGCCTGGGTGGCTGGGTGGGTCTGCAGTGCATTAGTTGGGTTGGAGGAATTGTTCTGGAAATTTGAAGAGGGGGGTTTGCTAGAAAAGGGGGTTCTCCCAAACCATAAATCCCTCTGGCTACGGGCCTGATAGAAGGGATTCTAAATCAACAGTTGTCTAAATTTAAAGGGCTGACAAAGTATTCACATTTTTATTTATTATTGTTTTAGCATTCTGAGATTTGTGCTACCTTCTGTACACTAATATTGTGTGATATTCTTTTGGCTTCTGCTATAATAGATGGAGGAAGAGTTGACACCTCAGCTAGTCGTATCCCTGAGAAATTGAGAAATATATATATTACATTCATATACAACTTACGCACATAATAACAAAGTAGTAATAATAGTTAGTATAATCGATTTGCTTATAAAACATAATAAGTCTATGATAACAGTCAAACGTACCATAATTCTTTTCTTGTGTTCTTCCACGTGACAGCACATGCGTGTAAAATACCTTTTGAAAGTTGCCATTACCTGTGACATGGTGTTCAACTTCAAAATGGTAACTATAAATGATAATAGCCTATTAGTGATGATGATAATAATACTGATATCAAAGGCTATAATAATCATATATTTATTTATTTATTCTTTCTTTATACTAAATATACACTTTCAATACATAGCACTGATTTCTAAAGTGGTTCAGTTCTACAAAATTTTTAAAAGAAAATATATACACACTGTAACCAAAAAAAAACAAAAAAAAATTTAAAAAAACAAATTGAATGAAAATTAGGAAAACAATAATAATAATAATAATATTTAAATACTATATATGGATATGTAAGGTAGTTAAAAATTAAGATGGTATTATTGAGGATTTGAAATAAAATGCTTAAAAGTTGAAAGTGTCAGAATTAAAGCTGGTTTTAGTATGATTCAGGAATTTATTCCATAATTTAGTAGATCGGTATACAAAAGTTCTTTTACCTTGCATATTATCCCAGCTATATTCAATGAGTGTATTTTTACTTTGACTCCGAGTTTAATGCGTATGCAAAACCATAATTAAAAGCAAAATATAAACATTTAAAAATCATTATGAGCAACAGGGGCGGATCCAGAAATGTCCAAAAGGGAGGGCCGAAAGGGGGTCCGATCGAGACAACACTGTCTTAGGGGGTTGTGTTCTAAACGCCCAAAAATAACATTTGAGACGTTCTGGGCTATCATTTTTTTCCTTTTCTTTCTTTTTTTTACCTCCAAAAAAGGGGGGCCCCCCCTAAACCCGCCCCTGAGCAATAGTTTCTCGCATTTATTATTTATTATTTTAGAAGTGATTTGGCGCAGTGGGAATGGTTTGGTTTTCCAAACTTGCGGTTGGGGTTTCTATCCCTACTAGTGCATATCGCTTGAGCAAGGTACTTTATCTGTTTTGCTTCTCTCCACCCAGGAGTATAAATGGGTACCTGGTGGGGTTGCCTGCTCCTGTGCTGTACTGACCTGGGAAAGAAGTACCTTGTAACCGCAAAGAGAGGTGCTATATAAATAACTGAATAAAATAAACTAAATAAATAAATAATCTAGCTAATTTGTTCTTACTTTTCTACATTAGGATAGAGTGAGTCCAGGTTTGTTATCTCTTGGTAGTGAGTTGCAAAGAATGTGAATGCTTTAAAGCTGAGAAGGAATTCACAGATGGAATGACAAATGCCAACACCTTCTTCACTACTTGTTCCTAAACAAAATTCAGATATAAAAAAAAACTTTAGATCTTAAAACAGCAAGAAAGTATTATTCTTTCATATTGTTACATGAATATTCTTTGCAAAATTGTACTCATTTTGATTGAATAAAAATGTTGTTTTTTTTAATCATTATTACAATTAGTAACTTATGAATTATATTGATTTATTAATCATTTAATAATTAATGTACCTCGTCCTAGTTCATCAATGATGATTAACGACTTCTCAGTTGCATTTTGCACAATGTAATTAATTTCTCGCATCTAGGGAGAATAAAATACATAAAATTACTACTCTATTTAACTCACTGAACAATTATAAGATAGTATTTTTGATGATGATCAGGGGTGGATCCAGAATTTTTCGAACGGGGGTGGGGGGCATAACAGTCCCAGAATAGATAAGTGAGTAGCACATAACATTGATTTTCATTGAAAATTTTAAAATTTAGTGGCAAATGGGGGAGGGGAGGGGCACGTTCCCCACTACTGAATCCGCCACTGATGATTAAATTATAGGTGAGTTTAAGGGAATAAAAATACCTGTACTAATATTTATAATAATAACCAAAATAATACTAATATAATAATTTTATTGCATTGTTTATCAAAATCAAAAAAATTTAAAAAAAAAAGAGTAGGAATTGAAGATCCATCACAAAAACAATATTCAAACAAACGTAACCTTATTCTCATTTTTTAAACTTAATGTCTTCATATACAGACACACACACAAACATGTACCACCTGGATGACTATACCCAACAACAGATGCAAAAGTTCTCTCCCAACCTCTATCCCCCTCAAATGTTGGCTGTCAAACAGTGGCTAACCACTAATTAAAACAGATTCTGATAATGAACTGCAGCATACCCTCTGTTCCCACTGGTTTCAACATCCTACAGATCTCACCTCAGATATTAATACTGTGTGCACCTGATATATTTTCATACCTCTAACATAAAAGTAGATGCGTTGGTTTCAATATCATCATCACAGCCTATCCTGGAGAAGATCTGATCTGCAATTCTCAACGACACGTACTCAGCAGGCACAAAGCAGCCCAGCTGTGACATGATTTGTAGCAGGGCTATTTGCTTCAAATATGTGGATTTACCACTCTAAAAGACAATTGATAATATATTTTGTCATATAATTCATGCCAGAATACTTTATGGAAACATGTAATTCTGATTGTAATTATAATATATTGTTTATTTGATAGAATTTTTTTTATATATATATGTTATATATTCTTTTTAAGATTTGTTAGTATTGTTATGTATTTGTATAAAGTATTTAATAGGATATCATACTTATTTATTCATTTGTTACCAGACTTTTTATTCTTTTTTCATTGTCAAGATGGGACAGTACAATACAATCCACTTGATGAGATTCTCAACCACTCAGCTTTACATAAGTATAATGTTTTTCAATTTTTATTTAAAAAAAAGATGTTTTTTTTATAATTTTCTCTTTTATGTTTTTTTTTTACAAAAATAAAAGAATGTACTATAATTTGAATTTTTTGCATTGAGCAAACACCTTAAACCATTAAGCTTAATATTCAACACGAGACATGTGATCCAGCACTTTGTGGCTAACAATACACAAAGGAGGTTCTCTTTCAACGAATGTCAATAGGGAATGAGGACGTTTGTTAGGGAGACGGTTCGTTTCAATTTTACTTCAAAGGGGTGTTCCGTTTTGGGAACAATGGCAATTAGTCGGTTTATCCAGGTAAGTATCTCACTCATAGACTACCAACATCACGATTGATTTGTGTATTTTCATAAATATATATTAAGTTGTATAAATAATAATATTATTCTCTTTTAGAAATGTCTTTATGAATCAAAATTCAAGGTATTTACCATGTTTGGTCCAGTAATGATAATAAAATTGCTTTCTTCAGATGCATACTGCAGAAGAAAAAACAAATATGGCTCTTAAAAATTTAACAAATCGAATTAGTGATTATTCAATCCTTTGGTTCAATATTACATATTTTTGCAAGAGATTGATGTGTGTCATAATGTAAACATCATTATTTTGTACTTTAGCCCTCAATCTTGCTTAGTTTAGCATGGTTTAGCAAAGACACACACTTAAGTGGACAAAACTAACAGTTTAGCCAACTAAACTACTTTGTGAGTTTCTTGATGAAATAAGTAAAATAAGCCTTACAGCATTGTTTGCAATTGGTGCCTCAACTGAAATTTTTGTTAGAATAGGATGGCATCCATGCTTGATAGCTAAAGTATCGGTAAAATCAGGCCTTACTGCAAAAGAAATAAAATCAAATAAGAAATTGTGCTTAAATTATTATTGCCAAATAATTCAAAATCATTCTAGCATTTTGAATTCTAAAAATACCACTTAGAATGGAATATACAGTAGTAAGCTACCAAAAGATATTGAATATCTCCAACAAATTAAAAAATAAAAAAGAATATATACACACTCTCTATAAAACAAAATCTACTCATATATTTTTCCCACATGTTGTGAACTTTTGTCAAAATTTATTGCTACTCCTTCCCTGTAAAATGATACAACACTGACTGAGTGTTGAGCACCTACCATAGTCTCTAAGGGTGCAGACATGAGCGAATGATGTGAGCATATCCAGCATAGATACGCATTCCGTCAGTTGATATAGGCAACCAATATGCTCACGGATATCATTAAAAAGTTCATTAACGACTCTACAAATAAAATACAATAATGTTATGTTTAACATTTGTTTAGGATGTGTTTTGGTGACAACACTGTAATGTTTTGAATCCGTAAATGGGACAATTTGTTAAGCCTTACTATGTATTAGATATTGAAAATTATTCTATTATTAGCTTTGATGAGCAGCTCTAGAAACACTCGACTGATGATTAATAGATCTGTTTTAGAGCTCGGATGAGGGCAGACTGAGGGCTGATTGATTATTAGTTTTTTTTTTTTAGCTCCAATGAGGGCGGGCTGAGCTGGTTGATTGATTAAAACAGCATTCCGCAAACTTTTTACTTCACGGCCCAATTACGTTTACAGGCACCAAGCCGTGGCCCAGCAGCCCAGCCGCGCCTGGGACCAACATACCGAATCCTGGCAAGAACTTTTGATTATGAAGCCTCCATGTAGGCCTATATACAATATTTTGACATCATTATCTGTTCTCTCAGTCATAAAATTTCATTGTATACAAATTAAATATTTTATTAAATAAATAATACCGTACATTTGTGTTCCCCCACCACAATTGTTGATTGTTTTTTTTCTACCATGATTTAACAAAACACGGTTCAGCCACACATGTCATAGCTTTCTCCTTCCATAAATATTTACGCACACTCTGTTGCTCCACAACTTTGAAAGACTACCTTACTATAAAGGTATTAAGTTTAGTAATAAAGTATCCGCATGGGCATTCAGTTATGAAGAAATGTTGGTGCTCTGTAGTGATCTTTCCAGGACAGGTCTTTAATTTTATCTTTAGTTCATGACTCATCCCATCATTCCTCCATACTGGATTTACTCGAACTTACAGGGTTAATACTAGACGATAACATAGTGTCTAGCTCCCCAGGGGCATAGACACAAAAACCGCTTATAACTCAAACAGCACGCATCATCTGGCACTTTAGCAGCGTGTGCGAGCGCCACATTAGCTGTAACAATGAAGCGGCTTTATTAAAAACTACTTTCGCCATGATGAAACGTCGCTTTGTTATTTTTTTTCCAATTTTGAGACGGCTTCGCAGCCCTCCAAAAATGGTCCATAGTTTGCGGATTAATATACCTTGTTCTGAGGGGTTTTTTTTAGCTCCAATGAGGGAGAGCTGAGCTTGCTGATAGATTCATAGATCTTTTATGTATGGGTGGCTGTTAGGGCCCATATACTCTACTGCCTCTATTATACTGCCCTCATCAGCTTTCAAGATTACAAGAACTCATTTTTACTTACATGTTTGTCATTAGATAAATCTCATTCAGAGATTCCCTGATGCGATCTAAAAATAAATTGAAAAAGAGAAAACAAGTAATAACGTTAAAGCAACAAATACCTCCAACAAAAAGAACATTTTGTGATGAATGTAATGAAATAATAACAAAAATCTTAAGTATAATACTTACCATTGAGCTTGATCTGTAAAACAAAGAATACATAATATAAGTATGAAAATGCACAAAAATACAACTACTAAAAACATTAATCTACTGCAGCTATCTATGCATCTATTTGTTTTCTTTAACTGAAGTACATTCAAATCAAAAACAGAAATATATTTTTTCAATTAAATTATTTTTTATAAACATAACCCATGGCTATAATCATAAAAGATATTACTTGTATATCAAACATAAATACACTAAGAAGAAAACGTAAGGAAAAAAACTTACCAAGTCTGTAGTCGTGAAACTTGCCATGTTCCTGGACTTTACAACCTTAATGAACTTTGAAGGTAGATTAGCCAGTGTGAAGCCTGAATTAGCTCCGCAATACAACTGGATATAGAACCCTCGTGTACCATTATAACTTGTCTTTAATGGCAGGTTATGCTGTTCCCCAAGTTGTTTAATTAACTCTATAGTATATAAAAGCATCATCATGAACATTAATTGACTAATTGATCAATTTAAAGGACCAATATAGCTGATTGATTGATTGATTGATAGATTGATTTTTTAGTTAATTCAGTTTATTGGTAGTCATTGGCCATTGAAAATTTTGTTCATTGATAAATTGATTTTTTATGGATTTGATTTTAATAACAATTAACTACTGTACATTCACTTTTTGGTCCAACCCAAAATATAAACTACTGGTATACTGATTCTTTGAACAACTGAAATTATATTTGGTAGGAAATTGCATCTTACCTGAAATATCATCTACAATTTCTGTGTATGTCCTTCTAGCAACGTCTAATAAACCTAAAATGAAAGAAAACATTACTGAAATCTAATACAAGAAATTATTTATTCATTTATTTATTTGTTCATCCATCCACCCACTGACCACTTCCCTGCATTTCCTTCTTTGCTATAGAGATCTTACAGTCTTTGATGGGGAAAATGAGCTTAGAAGGCATTATGGAACATGTTTCTTATTTAAAGTAAATCTTGACAAGAAATAACTTTCTTATGGAAAGTAAATATTTCTTAAAATAAGAATTATCTAAGAATAGTTTGATTTCTTGTTTTAAGAAAATATTTCTTAAAATAAGAATTTTCCAAGAATAGTGTAATTCTTGTTTTAAGAAAATATCTTTCTTAAATTAAGCATTTCCCAAGAATCGTGTGATTTCTTGTTTTAAGAAATTTTCTTAATGTAAGTAAATATTTCTGAAAATAAGAATTTTCTAAGAATAGTGTGATTTATTGTAGTAAAACAATATTTCTTAAAATAAGAATTTTCCAAGAATAGTGTAATTCTTGTTTTAAGAAAATATCTTTCTTAAATTAAGCATTTCCCAAGAATGGTGTGATTTCTTGTTTTAAGAAATTTTCTTATTTTAAGTAAATATTTCTTAAAATAAGAATTTTCTAAGAATAGTGTGATTTTTTGTAGTAAAAGAATATTTCTTAAAATAAGAATTTTCCAAGAATAGTATATTTTCTTGTTTTAAGAAATTTTCTTTATTTTAAGTAAATATTTCTTAAAATTTTCTTAATTCTCGGAATTCCCATTTCTTTGTAGTAAAAGCCACCGCTACCTACAGTTTCTTAATAACTATATCCTCTTGATCGTTACAGCATTACAGCCTAAAAACCTAATTTTTGTAAAAATCTCAGGGTTTTTTGCAAAAATAAAATGTGTTCTGAATGTGTGTTAATAAGACAAATGGATCAACTTCTGTATATTTAAAGCATAATAGGCCAACTTACCATTAATATTAGGTTTAACTGCAAAGCATTTTTGTGTTCTCATGTTGAGGGCGCCTTTTTGATACCTTGTTTCATCATGAATAACTGTCTGAATCTTGTCAAGAATTAGCTCAAACCTACTATCATGAAGCGACTACAAAAACAACAATATAAAGTAAAATATATTATAATTTCAGGGTTTAAAAAAACTAAGGGTTTAAGGGTGGGTGTGGGATAACATTGGTAAACTCTAAATAAGAGTGAATTTTAATGATGGAAAAGTGGGTTAATAAGGGTGGGTGGAGGGCCATGAAATTAGCTTTAGACTGGGTGGAAAACTGCAAGGCTGGGTAGCCCTGCCCACCATCCCTGTAATTTAATCATTGTATTAATTTGGAATTGGAAATATGATATGATGAATACAAACTTTTTGATTTTGGTGTAATACACTAATTGCACAATTTTACTTAAATTTTTTTTTTTTTTTTTTTTTTTTTTTTTTTTTTTTTTATTTTTTTTTTTTTTTTTTTTTTTTTTTTTTTTTTTGTGGGGTTTGATTGTCATTTGTTGGCTTGGTAGTGTTTTAGCTTTAATCAATTTTGGCTGTTTTTTCTTTTGACTGATTTCAGTTGTTTTGTTTTGGTTGTGAATGTTTTTGATTAGTTTTGTTGGGTTTTTTTTATTTTGAATGTTTTGATTGGTTTTGATTGACTATGGTTGGATTAATTGGTTTTTGGTTGTTTAGGTTGATTTTGGTTGGTTTTGGATGTTTTTTGGTATATTTTGATTGGGTTTGGTTGTTTTGATTGTTTTTGGTTTCTTTTTTTTTTTCTTTTTTGTTGTTGATGCTGTTGCTGATTATTGCTGTTGTTTTGGTGGTGATGCTGTTCATAATGTGCTGCTGTTATTACAGTTCCCAAAACGGCATTTAAAGAACTGTTTGACTTTGATAAAATTTGACTCACAGATCGCTAATTAATGAAAAACACAACAATTATTTGGCAAGTACAATAAGATTGACTTAGAAATTATTTGACTTAGGAAAAGTCGACTTAAGCAAGTTTAACTGTATTTTTATTACCAGTATTCTTTTTGTTGCTATTACTATGACTATAATTTCTATTAGCATTATTGTCTTTCGTATTTTATTGGTCATGAGATACCTTATGGTAGGCTTGTAGGAGTCTGTTGTTGCATCCTTCTAGAGTGGTTCGCAGTGGTCCCACGAGCTCTAGCGTGTGCTTCAGCAGTATAACGGTGGTAATCTTCTGTTCTGCTGTTTTAACCGTTTCTGTCTTTGGTATCTGGACACACTGGGACAGAAGGTGATCAATGTCCAAGAACCGAGCTAACACTGAAATCAAAAATCAAAATTCTCTTGTAACTGATTCGAGACATTACCTAATTGCACATTGAAATAATAAATATTAAAATAATTACACAATAAATTAATTTTGTTTACAGTAATGGTATTATTCAGTAAATGTTTACAATTTCATGCAGTATTTCCAAAATTTTAATCAATTTAATATTTTTAAAAGTATTTTATTTGAACACAGGAACAATATCAGGGAGTAATGAGCTTTAGGGGTTATCTTTTGGTATATGTTGATAATCATGTTTTTAGTAATTTTAACAAAACTATGCATTATAATAGCTTTTTTCATTATGCATAAAGCTGTCAATAGATTTGTACATGATGACTTAACTGACCTTATGCAATATCTTTTTCATATTCTTAACTTGTGTGTGTTTTTACCTTGTCTTTTTTTTACTTTTTTACAATATCATGATAATATTATAACAGGGAACAGTAATTTAACTGTTCCCTGATTATAATGATTTTATGGGTTATTAATTACCTGTCTGTAGATTGTAGAATAGCTCCTCATTTTGTGTTAGTTCACTCACAACCTCAAGACGCATATTTATTGTCTCCTGGTCTAAAATATGAAAAAATACTATATAATATTTATTATTATTACCATAATTACAAAATAAAAAATATTATTAATAATAATAATAATACACATGAGCAGTGCAATTTTAATAAATATGCTTTATTATTTTTTATGAAATCATATTTAACCTACCATATAATGGTTGCAAGATGTTTGATCTCAGCAGTCGAGCTAAAAGGAAAAGAAATATGGGCTTTTAAATTGTTTTCAATATTTAACTTTGAATGCATTCAATCTTCAAAAAAAGGAACTGAAATGTTTAGTAAACTGTTAATTTACCATTTATATTGGTTTTTTTTATTGACCCTTAAATGAATGTTGGTAACTTTTGAGATCACTCATGTTTTTATCTGATATTTTCAGGTATTGTTTAAGCCCAAAAATAAAAATTCATACTGAAATACTGGTACTATATTTCACTTTTTTCTAGATGTTTTTTTTTCTATTTATTTCTTCATTTATTTCTAGTAAGGCTGGGATTAAAACTATTTTCCATGTATATATTTAGTTTATATGATATATTATAATTTAATGTTTTACATTTGCATATATTTGTCTTGTGTTGCCAAATGGAATAAAATAAAAATAAAAAAATATTTTCAAATAATTTTCATATCTGTTTGAAATTGTGAATTGCAACTAAGTTACCCACCTCCACCAACTGTCTTTGTACAATTAAGAACACCGTATAGTGTATCATCACTTCGTGGATCTCTCAAATTCTGAACTAACTCCAGATTTTTGGCTGTCGATGCATCTAATGGGAACAAATCCAGAAAGCTATACTGTTTAATATAGAGAACATCAGAGCTCAATCGGGTTCCTAGGTTATTTTTATTGTTCCTTAGCTGCAGAAGGCAGTGGCTGTGAAAACTTACACTTGCCTTTCAATCCCAGGGTCCTGGGTTCAAATCCTGTTATATTCCAGGATTTTTTCTCACGACAAAACAACTCTAATCAATAAGCCTTGTTATGAGACTTAGTTTATGTAGAGCATTTATGTTTATGTTTGTCATGTAAAGGGAATGCCACCTATCTAATAAGACAGTGATGTAGATACTATTTGCAATCATTGGCCATGTGCCTAAACAAATAAAATAAATAAAAATAAATGCTTATGTTTGCTACTACAGTATTTTATCACACAAGACTCAAGACATTATACATTCTATTATGGATTAAACTTTGAAAATTTTTTTTTTCTAATTTAGATTAGGTATGCAAAATTTGACAAATTAGCCAATTTACTCACCAATCATGGTTGTCTGTTCACTACCTTTGAATACTACCTTTAATGAGCTGGGGGCATACACAATGTTCTGAATAAACTCAACATACTTCAACAAAGCTGCTGATGCTGCCAGACAGTAATACCTAAAAAACAAGAAAAAAAATGAAGAAAGAAAATAATTTTAGTAATTTTTTAATTCAAATTACTACCTATTATTTGTTAATAACTTATTATTTATCACCAATAATTTATTAATAATTTTACTTTGATATATAACGACTATCATCTTTAATTGCACTATTACTATTATTTTTTATCATAATTGATTTATTTATTACTTGTTTTAAATATTTTTTCACTTACTTTGACATAACTTCCATCACAACTGTACTATATTCTGTTAAACACAGTTGTTTGATATACTCCAGCCCTAGACCAAAATAATTGGAGGTGAAATTATATAAAAGTCTAAAATACATTTGGTTTATTAAATAACATAAATTGCAGTTGTATAGTATTACAACCAGTGGCAGCTCTAGGACATATTTTCTGGGGTGGGGGGGCTAAGTTAAGTAAGAAAGAGGACACTTGAGCTCCTGGGACCAAGCTGGGGGAAGGGGATGAGAAGGGGTTCCCCCTCCCAAATGTGATTTTTTTAAGAATAGCAATTTCTGGATGGCCGGAAACAGCATTCTCAGACTGTGTCAAACATATGTTGGCTTGGTGTGGGCATATTTTTATATGTTTTATGGTCTGAGTGCCCGACAAGCTCTGTCCGGCGGGGTAATTGATCTGTCCGGTGGGTGACTTAAGCACCTGTCCCCCCCCCCCCGTTGGCACCGCCACTGATTACAACTGTTGTATTGATACATAATTGGTGTTCACAAAATATTATAAAAATATAATCTATTGCTTAAAGTGTGATTTGATTTTTATTTATTTTATTCCTTTCAGCAGTACAAACATTGACAAATACAAAATAAAATAGGAGAGCTGTGGAGAAACCAAAGCGGTTAAAAACTATCGCCCAAAGCGCATGCCTCTCTAACTCCTACTTCCATAAACCAATTGTGATGTTGTGAATATTTTGAAAGAGGGCAAAAAAATTTGATTCTGTTTCTGATAATAGTAGAACCTGAAGGACACACATTTGGGACCTAAAAAGTGTCCCCTATCATTCAGATTCTATATCATTATACAGTAGAACCCTTATTAAGGACAATTTTCTCTTAATAGGGATGTCCTCTGAATAGGGGTTGGCCGTAGTGTTAAAAGATATACTTTCCGTTGTTCTGTGCCCAAAAAAGCTTACCCTAAATAGGGGTGTCCCCTTAATAGGTTGTCACGAAGGAGGGGTACTACATTATAATTATACCTTTGGTTTCATTGAAGTACTTGCGCTGCACTGTGGATATATTTGTCTCCTGGTAGTGTTCTGTGATTAGGTTGAACAGCTTGGTCATGTTACCATTCTCACAGGCAGTACTTGGCATGATGATCTAACCATACCAGTATATAGAATATAAACATTAAAAATAATGTTTTTAAGTTTTTTAAATAGTGAGAAGATCTTGCTTGGAAGAATTTAATTAATAAAAATAAAATGATTATTTAGAATTTATAATCTTCATTCATCTATTAAGTCTAGATTTTGTATACAGATATTTATTACTTTTATTGTCAAGATGTAATGATACACTTGTAATAATATAAATGATGATGGAGATGATAAAGATACGAAGGTACAAAGATGATGATTATGATGATGTTAAGATGATATGATGGTGGTGGTGTTTGTGGATGGTTATGATAATGATAATACTCTAGGTGATGACATTGATGATGATGATGAGGATGATGATAACGATTCCAATGACAAGGAAGACAATGAATGTGAGATATTTACATAACCTATAAAAAGCAAAATGAGAGATATCTGAAAGAATCTGGGGTCTTTTTGCAAAAATAATATTGATATTGGTGCTATCAAGTTATATTGGTGTTATCACATAAGTTATATTGGTGTTAATGCTATCACTCAAGTTATATTGGTGTTATCACTTAAGTTATATTGTTATCACTCAAGTTATATTGGTGTTATCACTCAAGTTATGCTTGTGTTATCACTCAAGTCTTATTGGTGCTATCACTCGTGTTATATTGATGTTATCACTAAAGTTATATTGGTGATATCACTCAAGTTATATTGGTGTTATCACTCAAGATTGGTCTTATCACTCAAGTTATATTGGTCTTATCACTCAAGTCTTTGTACCACTAACCTCAAGTGGCTGTAGGATTCCCAATCTGGTCATCACCTTCACATAAGTTTGGTTATCAGAGAATTGTGAGAGTATAAGATGAGGCTGCTTCAGGTCAATACTGGCCATACCAATCTCACCCTGAGCTAGCCCTCGACCTTCTACAATAGCTAACAAAGAAATGAAATATAAAATGAGGCACATCATGGCGAAATGGAAGTTGTCGCACAGGCCAGTATTAAGTAAATGAGCTATAAAATATGGGAGCTCAAAAAATGCCTAAAAATCCAAATTTGTTTCTCACTATAGATCAATAGTTTAATGTCTTATTAATCATATCCCAAAGTATTCTGGAGGTGGTCAACAAATCGTTTATTTAACATTATTTTTATAGTTAATTCTATTAAACAATGTATCCACAAATAACTTTGGAAGGCAATTACTCAAAACCATGTTTATCTTGACTTAAAGAGTGCTGTACATTCACTTTCCAGTAACTTAGACTTGAAATGTGCAATTTCAATGATTGACCCCTCACTTTAAAGATCATATACTCAGGTATCTGAAAGTACCAATAACTTGAATTTCAATTTTTGCTACAACTTAGCCATTTTGCAACAACATGCCTCAAATGCTTAAATAATTTCATTTGGCTTCTAAATACCATAGTTTCTTCTTTTAACTATGCCAAGAAATGTATAAAGACTGATGTATGGGAATTCAATGGGATTCAAACCTAGCACCTTATCATCTACCATTCAGTTTCTGAACTGAGCGGCAATGTTATATTTACCAATTAAGAGCATGGCTCAAGTTATTACATGATCATATACGCAAGAAAATTAAATCAGATTAAATTTAATATGGATTGGGAAAACCCTTCCATTTGGGATATAAAAACATATCCATCTATCTAAAGTAGTATACTGTATATGCTCTGTCTTGCTAGATATATGGCCCAAGTAAACATGACTATAAAGCTTATGAATTTACAGTATGAATAACAGGTGAAGTGTACAAACCATTCGTTATTTAATCAATATTACCAATTCAAGTGCTGTGTAGAGAGAAAGAGTGTTCATTGCTCAAGACAACAAACAAGGGACCGACCTCAGACACGAACCATCATTCTTTATCCATTGAGGCGAAAGCCTACCCATTGTGCCACAAGCAATGTGTTTCTGTATATATATGCTTTTGTGTATGCATCGAACACTCATTTCAGCCAATATATAAATATTTATTTATTAGAATGATTCAATGGATGTTGTTGCTTGTAAGTTTGAAGGGGATGATTTCCTCACCTATAATAACAGTGTTGGGATTATGAGCTGGAGTTGTGGCGCTGGAGGTCGATGGCCTTGGTGTTGTTCTACTACTCAACATAGAGGATGATGTTCCTGGTGTTGTCAACCTAAGATAGGATTTAAAAGTGTTTAAGATTATTACAGTTGTACCTCGAATTGAATGCTGTAAATTTTGGTAATTACTACTAGTATAAAACAATAGGGTCACTAAAACATCAATCTGTATCGTGGAGTGTATTTACCAGTATTAAATCACCTAAACGATTGTATAAACAAAGCGTGTTTTTAATTTATTTTGTTTCTTTGAAATTCATGTACAGTGATGTATTCTATCTCAAAATGAAGGCCATGCTATCTTGAAATGGGCTTCTTTTCTAGGCTATTTTTGCAAACTAAGAGGGGGCTTCAATTTGAGATGGGCTTCTTGTCAAGATTAAGCCCACTAAGCTTCTATTCAAGTTTTTACAGTATGTTAATAGATTTTAATTGATATATTAATATATATTTGTAATGTATACACATTACAATGGAAAGAGGAAATCAATGCACCTTTAGGCCTGCACAAGCACAACATGCTGCCCCTTGAATATTGTTGTTAAGATCCCACAAAACGACAGTGTGTAAAAACATACACAAATGCATACATTTGTGGGGCAAAATGTGTGTTTCTGAGATATGTTCATGTTGTGCCCTGTTCTGGTTGGTCAGTGGTTTAGTTAGATTGCACTGCTACCATGGTAACTTGCTCCAGTCAAAATATAAGTTGCTTTTTATATCACTGACCTGGAGGATGCTCTTGGATTGCTGTAAGCTGACGAAAACTGCCTTGAGGATTTCGAAACATTTGAAGACGATTTTTTCCTACAGCTTGATGCTGCAGTGGTGGTGGTGGATGTGCTCGTGGAACCAGAAGGTCGCCCTCTCATGGCACTGCTACTGGACGAATCATTGGGTGTTTCCATCAATCCATAATCTATTGTTTCAATCAAATACTAGTGAATATGTGTGTAATAGGCTAGGCCTATATTTGTTTTGTGACTTTTTAGTATTTTTAAATTTAAAATTAAACATCTTTATTTTTTTTTTTTTTTTCTTTCCCAGAACACACCGTGAAAAGGTTGTTAAATGTAGGCCTATAGGTCTACTACTACTAGCCTAGGCTTATAATAATAATGATAATAATATGTCGTTCTTCTATAGCGCTTCATGCCTTTACAAGGCCTCTAAGCGCTTCACATTACTACCCCGGTCATTGGATCAAACACATATGGAACACATTGAAACACCAAATTAAATTAGTAAATGAAATTATATTATCATTTCATAAATTGCAGCTAGGCCTAGGCCTAATCAGCGCAGGTTGTGTTGGAACCTACCAGGTACCCACTTGTACTCCTGGGTGGAGAGAGGCAACCGTAGATAAAGTGTCTTGCCCAAGGACACAAGCGATTTGCACAGCCAGAGTTTCGAACCCCCGACCTCAAGGTTGGGAGTTCAAGCCACAACCGGTGCGCCAACCGCTCCTACAATAACAAAGGGGCACTAGGCCTAGGCCTAGGCTAAGGCCTAGCCTAGGCCCTAGCCCTAGGAGTCAGAGCATAACAACTTTCATCATTTTATGAGCCTTCTTCTAGGCCTATACTTACAATATCTCGGTTGTCCAATATTTGACATGATTATATTTCGATAATTTCATCTAGCAAATGATACAACTGTTTTTACTGAAAAGTAACAAACAAGTAGCCTAGCCATAGCTAGTAGATAGCCTAGGCCAAAGTTCCAGACTAAAGAACAGCCAACTAGACAGAAGAAGAAACATTCTTTAGGCCTGCACAAGCACAACATGCTGCCCCTTGAATATTGTTGTTAAGATCCCACAAAACGACGTGCAGTGTATAAAAACATACACAAACGCATACATTTGTGGGGCAAAATGTGTGTTTCTGAGATATGTTCATGTTGTGCCCTGTTCTGGTTGGTCAGTGGTTTAGTTAGATTGCACTGCTACCATGGTAACTTGCTCCAGTCAAAATATAAGTTGCTTTTTATATCACTGACCTGGAGGATGCTCTTGGATTGCTGTAAGCTGACGAAAACTGCCTTGAGGATTTCGAAACATTTGAAGACGATTTTTTCCTACAGCTTGATGCTGCAGTGGTGGTGGTGGATGTGCTCGTGGAACCAGAAGGTCGCCCTCTCATGGCACTGCTACTGGACGAATCATTGGGTGTTTCCATCAATCCATAATCTATTAATATATTGTTTCAATTAAATACTAGTTAATATGTAATAGGCTAGGCCTAGGCCTATATTTGTTTTGTGACTTTTTAGTATTTTTAAATTTGAAATTAAACATCTTTATTTTTTTATTTATTTTTTTTCTTTCCCAGAACACCGTGAAAAGGTTGGTAAATGTAGGCCTACAGGACTACTACTACTAGCCTAGGCTTATAATAAAGGGGCACTAGGCTTAGGGCCTAGTAGTAGGCCTAAGCCTAGCTACCCTAGGCCTACCTAGGCTAGGCCTAGGCCCTAGGCTAGCCCTAGGAGTCAGAGCATAACAACTTTCATCATTTTATGAGCCTTCTTCTAGGCCTACTTACAATATCTCGGTTGTCCAATATTTGACATGATTATATTTCGATAATTTCATCTAGCAAATGATACAACTGTTTTTAATGAAAAGTAACAAACAAGTAGCCTAGCCATAGCTCCGATCCTCCCTAGCCTAGGCCAAAGTTCTAGACTAAAGAACAGCCAACCAGACGGAAGAAGAAACATTCAGCCAATCGCCTTCGAGCAAATAATGCGCAGCCGCACAACTTCTCAAACTTTGGTGAGGTGCGCCCCCTGGAAGTTACCAATTTTCTGTTTTTCAGCAGCGCAGCCGATAAAACGAAGATCAGATGCGAGATAGTTGTTGGTGTTTGGTATTTGCTTACTATATTTTGCATATCTTGTGTCATGTGCTTGTTAAATGAATAATACTGAAGTGTAGGTCTATATATGCAGGAATAGTTAAATATATTTGTTTGGCCTGGCCCTCCCTACTAGGGTAGGCAGGCCTAGGCTAGGTGTCATGTGCTTGTTAAATGAATAATACTGAAGTGTAGGTCTATATATGCAGGAATAGTTAAATATATTTGTTTGGCCTGGCCCTCCCTACTAGGGTAGGCAGGCCTAGGCTAGGCCGTACATGACATGGTGGACCCATGACATAGGGTTGGCCTGCCCTAGTAGTAGGCTAAGCAAGGTCAGGTCGCAGGGCGTACGCATACGTAGCCTGACTGGCTAGGCCTATGCTAGCTAGGAGCACACAAAAAAAGTATATCATTCAGTTGACTTCAAATATAATTTCATATTAATTCATATTAGATTATCATTCCCCGCCCGCGTCAAAAATTTGGGAAATATTGATGCGGGGATAAAAAAAAAATTGGTTTTGCCGCATCAATTATTTCTACAGCATAAAAATAACTATGCAATTTTGTGACTTCAAATACATTTTCTTTAAAAAACTATAAAATTAAACCAGTTTTTATACAATATTTACTATATTATTATAGGCCAAATATAAACAGTCCCTCCCTCATCGATAAAAACAAAAGTGAAATAATCTATTGTTCCGATAAAAAAAAAAAAGACCGCCCTCCCTCATTAAATTTTTTCTATGTGCCCTAAGCGTAGACGTGATGTCTCCTCTCTCTGCACCGTTTCTTGTAGGCTACACGATGACACATCACTTGTATCGCAGCCTAGAGTGGCTCAGACTCTACCTAGCCTAGGGGCACAGATTCTTATTAAATTAAATAAAAAATAACATTACATAAAGTTAATATGTAAATTTTATTAATCTTCGATTTTTTCATAATTTTTGTTTATATGTGAATGAGTTACCAGTATTGTGTATTTTTATTGTATTTTAGTAAAATTTGAAACATTCTAAACATCACCACTACGTTATTTGAAGGTGGGAATTCCATCTTCATTCCAATTATAATCATAATGTACTGTAAGTAAGGGGTTAAGGAAATTTAAACCATGTCTCTAGGGTTAAAATATCCACAAAACTGAAAAACACAGTAGAATCAAAGATATTAGGCAATTTAATGAAACCGAAGTTTAAATCTAGTATATTTTTGCTGAGACCACTCAGTGTCCCTACAACTCTCATTAAAGTCCAATTAAAATAATGCTTTTTAAGTTGCTGGTTATTGAAGTATTACATATGTTTAACAAGTGAATGGTAATAAAATATTTAATTTTTGGTCTATGGATATTAAAAATGATGGTTTAAAATATTAGTATAAGCCCCGCCCACTGGAGTGTGAGTAGAGCTGATGACATAGACTCTGTATAACAGTCAGTCATTTTAGATGGACTCTTTTAAGTGGTTAAGTTTAGGAATTTGTCCACAGTTTCTAAGCAACTGCTGGACAATAAGGGCTATACCGACACCCCAAGGTGATAAGGAATTCATTTCTCACTTATCCTACCTAATAAGCAACATCTGGGTAGAGGACCTAACTATTTGCCTTGAGAAAGTCATACATTTATAACTGCAATGTGTTACCAACATTTATGAATTGGTTGGTTCTTTTCTTGTTAACACTAAGAATTAATATTATTTTATGTTTTACACAAGTGACTTTTTTAAATGTATTACTGTATTGGTAATTTCTAATATAATTTATAAATAATAATTTTTAGACAGAACAATTAATTAAGTTGTTTATTGTTGAATCGTAAATGCATCATACAATTTTCATTGTTGTTGCTTGGTTCTGCTTGGATTTACAATTTACCTAAAATTTTTAACAATTTTATTTATTGATGTTTGATTACTAGACTAAAGAACAATTATCTGAATCTATAGCATAATTTTTGACTATGTTAAGCCTTGTGATACGTTTAATTATATACACAATTTACTGGATATTAATGATAATTTTAAACCATGTAATTTATTAGGGTTGATTTTTAATAGCACTAGGATTATTTACAATTCTAAATCACATTTATTGTTTAAAGAAGCTTTTCTAAGATGGTTCACACCCATTACTTAACATAGGACTGAGAATGCATCCAAAGCACGATCATTGTTTATACCTAGTTCTCACCTTCAGTTATTCGTTTCATTAAGTCCTTTTAAAGTTTAAAAGCTTGTTTATTGGTACTTTCTTACTTAATCTGAATCACAATACTAAATTAAGAACCCTATTGGCTATATTATATTGAATGTTTTCATGGTTAATTTTCTGTAACTCTTCTGGAATATCTGTTTGCAATGTAGACATATTATTCATTCGTGATGATGACCTGATGAAAGGTCAAAATATTAAATCACAATAATGAGTCCTGCTTTATTTGGAGTATGTTTTATACAAAGTTCACTTTATTTTGTATTGTATAATACACTTGCAATTGTGCTTGGTAAACTATGTTGTAATGTAAGGTTTTGCAATCACACATTTTGTTCTCCATTGTATAAGTGATTTATTTATGTTAAATAGGCCTGAATTTTGAGTGTATCTGGACAACTCTGGTGGATATGGGTCATTCACTAAATGGCAGTACATTCTTATTATAGTTGACCTGGAGCCATTTGATTGTAAAAATTGTCGCTAGGTTTATCTCTATATTTTTATTCTTTTCATTTAAATGTCGGCTACACTTGCTAGCACCTTTATCAACAAATTGATTAACCTAGATCTCAAAGTTGTAGAACGTATAGAATCTTTAACTAAATGCAAAACAAAGTTTGATTGTTTAAGAAATGCTCTGGATAAAAGATTTTGTAAGACCAACACTTATAACAAACAAGTTCCATAAAAAATCTGAATTGTTTATTTAAATTGAAGCTAAATTAACTTGGAGATAATCAGTTTTACAACTCCGTCCAGATAAACAATAGTATTCGATTTTGTGGTAGGTCCACAAACATACTTTCTGAAAATATCTGATGTATTGAGAGTATTGTACAACGTTTCAAATGTAAATTGTTCTATTCATATTTAGGAGTTTTGTTTGATCGGAAATTTCCCAACTCCTGCTACAGATATTCTGTACCCTGATGACATTTTCCACCCATGCTGAGAAACTCCACACTTTGGATGAAAGCTCACTATTCCTGGTAGAAAATTACCCACCCCTGAATTGACATTTTCTTTTAGGAAATAATTTATACTCTTACAGTACGCAAGACATTGCACAGTATGTAATGTTTTTACCCCTTTGAAAGATGTTTTGTCCACCTGACCTGTCGTTTTTTTATGTAGGTAGGGCCTGTCATTATTCTTATTGACCTGAGTTAAGAACATAATTAAAGATCATCACAAATACAAAGTTACTGGAATAATGTTGAATTCGCCATCTAGATCGAATAGCAGGGCTGGTGGTAGCTTATCCAAGAAATACAGTGGCATCCATGGTAAGTAGCCTACAGTAACTTTTGATCTTAGTCATTTTGATGTCTTTATTTACAAGTATGATGACACCTACAGTTAACATTTCTTCATCAAATACATTCAATTGAAATACTTCTTGTTTTGTGTAGTCTGTTTATACCAATTTAACCAATCAAAGCTTGTACAGGAGTCCAGGCATCAATATTTGTTTCATGGTTAAATATGCATATTTTCACTTTCAGATACTTGTGCCAATTTCTAAAATTAATAGATTTATGATCCATAATAGAAAAAATGCTGTTTTCTTTGAAGAAAAAGACTCACTCTGTGCACCAGTGTCCCCTGTTTTAAATTCCGAATATTTAATTGTATTTTTATTTATTCTGCATTCATTTTTCCTTTTTCCTTTCAGAAATGAAAACTGAGCTTAGCCTTTTATTAGAGTCTTTGAAATATCACATTAACTGCCCGGATGCACAGAAAACGGCCTTGTCAACCCTCTCTGCAATGCTTTTGCATTCAGGTAAGTCGACTGTAAGCATGCTGGAACATGGCCTGCAATAAAAAAGTAAGAATATCTAAACTAACTTTTCCTTTTTTTAATCTGAAAAGGGCATTGTTTATTCTGTTCCTCTATATTGTACTTTCTTCTCTTATTTTAATTATCGTGTTTTTTTCTATGTTCACTACCTCAACATAAATTTATTTAACTTGTTGGTATGTTTTTTTTTTTTTACACTGTATTGGAATTGTTTATTATTATTATACCATGTTGACTTTGTACTGTATACAGTATTAGCATCAAGGACCTGAAATTTAAAGAGACCCATATTTTAAACAATGCTATTTATAAGAGTTTCTGTCTATTACTATAATGTTTATTTTTTATTATGTTCAACAGCACCAGTATTGCCACCCCAAAATGTGTCAGTGACCAAAAATGTATATAGTATATTCTTATTCTCCACATTATAATGCTTTAAAATGATGGATCAGTTACTGGAATTGAATTACTATTGCCAAAGTTATGAGTAAAAGTATTACGGCTTCTCTTTACTGAAGTATACAATACTGCCACATTGTTTTGCTAATTACTCAGTTTGTCATTTAGCGACAGTACGCATATTTATTTAAAATTTTAATATATGATTTTTAATTGTAATTATAATAATATTTTTATGTATAGTTTTACTAGTGCTTTGCAAAAAATTATTTTAATATTTCTGTTAAATATTTATGTGTGTCCAGTTGGTGCTGGAGATCTCCCAGACAGATGGACAGTGCCTTCTTTTGAGCTATCCTACCAGAACTGCTGAGCCGTCTTGTATTTCTATGTTCTTTCTTGTTCATTTTGAAATGGTGCAATAAAACGATATGATACAATAGAATATTTATTTTGTATTTTTGTCCATTTTTAACCTTTGCAAGATGATGCTAAGGAAATGTTCCGGAAATGTGGCGGTTTACTATTTGTGAGAACTCTGCTGACATCGGTTGATAGTGAGCAGGTGAAAGTTGCCGCTCTTTACACTCTTGGATGTGCCTTGGAGAAAACAAGTCAGTGCCATTTGCTCATTTAAACTCATCCGTTCAAACTTTCTCCTTACTGTTAGCAATAATAATATTGATAATGGTAGTAGGCATTTAGAAAGTTACCAATGTCAGTGTACGGTCAGTGGTGCCAGAAAAATAAAGCCAGACAGAATGAAACAAAAAGAAAGCTGCTCTACATACATTTTTGCATATTTCAACTCTAGTAAAAATTTTCACTTTATTTAATTCATTAATTAGTCTATTTCATGAATACTTACTTGGATAAACCGACTAATTGCCTATTCTTTCTCATTCATGAGAACTCCCCTCAAAATTTATTTTGCATCCAACAGCAAGTAACTCGCCAATTACAGGATTGATGATGTTTTATAATCAAGTGTCTTTATAAGACTTAGGAAGTGTAGTTGTTTTATTAGTCATGAGAGAAATCTTGCTGACACAGGAATTGAACCTAGGCAAGCATCTTAACCAAAAGCCATACGATTCCACCTCCCCGAGTTATTCCAAAAATGACTTTTATCAAATGTGTTAAGCCTTATCCAAACTATAAAATTTCATTTGATAAACATGTGACATGCCCAAATATGGCCATGATGACATCACATCATGACCATATATAGGCACATCATGACTTTTTATGGGCATACACCAGTTTTTTGTCATGTGAAACCTACTCTCTTTTTTTCTTATTGTTTTCTTGCCAATCTTTGATCTCTAGCATTGTCACAGAAGCATCTATGTGAAGCCTCCATGTTTCAGTTCCTTCATTCTCAACTTATAAGTGATGAGTCAAGTAACCAACTCAAGACATTATCAACTTTTCTCATCCTTTGTTTAGTTACCAACAATAGTAAGTAAAAGCAAACACATTGCTATGTTTTAAGAAATGTAACAGTTTTTTTTTGTGCATTGTGCCATTTGTGACCCACTCAACTCAAAAAAATTAAACAATCAGATTATTAGATCTTTATAATCTAGAGGTCAGAAGCTAATAATTGATACCAAAATTGTTAAAATCTGGTAACAAATGGCAAAGATATGAAAATTTATATTTTTTTAAAGATATATTTGATATACATGGGAATTTTAGCTAATTTGAATGAAGACAGCAAGCACTTTGTTTTTTCCCGAGTCAGTCACATTTATGTGAAACTTATTTTTCTTTCCATACCTGCTACTCTTCATCCGTTCCTCTCTTTAATCTTTGTCATATATTTACTTGTTTTTATAATTGTTTACTTTTTCTCACTAGTTTTTTGCTGGAAAATGTCCATTGGCTTGCTGCATGGTTTGAAATATCACTTAACATATAAAAGATAAAAATAACATTGATTAATATAGAGATTATATTTTTCAGGTGTTGGCCAGATGATTGTTAGGGAGTCCAAGTGTTTGAATGCACTTCTGGCCCTGTTCAGGTGAGTTTTAGTGAATAATGTTCCATATAAAATATCGTTGATAACAAAACTTGCATCGGACACTTGTTGTGACCGGATGAGGCCTGTTCTTCCTAGCTTGGTGGTCTCTCAGGTCGCTTCGACTGGTGCCAAAGACCCGACTTAGAACTGGTACAGACATTCATATTAATTGATAAAATTATGAGCTAAAAAGTTACTTCAAAGATTACTTTCTGTTATTAGCTCAGTGTTTCATTTCATTTACCAGTGTTAACTTTGATTTGACATACAGAATATAGTAAATATGCTAAAATCTTATAGTATGCTGTGCTGTATTATGAGATATTAAATTCATTTAATGGCTTTGCTTCAGTGGTTGAAAAAATGAATTCTAGATTTTTGATAAGGTTGGAGAGTAGCACTTAGCAAAAAAAAAAAAAGATAAAGAAAAAAGAATTAGTGTGGTGCTTATTCAATCATTTATGATAATACATAGAACTCTAATATTCTTCCTTCATCCCCTCTCTTCTATTCATAGTAGCAACAAGTTAAGAAATTCCCTTTTAAAACCAGAAGAAAATAGTTGGCTGGATCATATAAATGAAGAGGAAGGCCAATACAAGCTTTGGAAGAGCATAACAAGTTGCTTGTGTGGGTGTGTTAATAATCCACAGAATGGTAAATTTGCCTCTTAATATGTTGTATCAGTTCTCTTGATTATCTTTTTTTTTTTTCACCCAAGTACTTTCTATATTAATTAGACAATTGATTAGTCATTACTGTATTTGTAAATAATGTTTCCATAATTTTTCTAACACAAGTTTATTTTGTGCAATGAGCTGTATTCCTCAGCTGTTAAGCTTGGTTTCCATAGAATTGCTCACCCTAGCTGTCACCGATAGGGTGAGCGATTGCATGGAAACCAAGTTTTTTACAAGGGTTATCACATGAATGGCACCCTCTGTTGTCAGCTCTACATAATTTCGTCAGGAACATTATTTCTCCTGGCCTATCAAAAATCAAAGAGTTCCAAGGTTGAACAAAACTTGTCTGTATGAGTACAGCTGGCAACAGAGGACATTGTGGTCGAGCCACAGATCTTGTGTTATATTCTGTTTTTTTTTTATTTATATCATCCAGTTGACAACCAGCTGATGTGTGCTTCTGTATTTCCTGCTGCTCTGTACATCTTGGAGAAGACCAGTAATCATGATATAATGAGACTGGTTCTCTCATTCATCAGTATGACAGTTGCAAACAATGGTAATGCAACATGTTCTTACATAGAATGCTAGTCTTTATTATTGATATTGGAACACATATTAATGTTGCTGTGCATCTTCCAATGGAAAGCATTTGATTTTACCTTCATGTTGATTAATGTAGTTTCTATGTAGACTTAAACAAAATAAGCTGGTGTATATGCAATTATATCTTTGCATTATGAAATTGCATGGCGTACAGCACAAGGTGGGCAAAGTGTGGCCACATGTGGCCCGGCAGACAATTTGCTGCAGCCTGCGAAAATTAATTGAAAACATATTTTTTGTGTGGCCCTGCGAACCATCTTTAGGGGTTTTTTTCCCTTTTGGTTTTTACGCCCCACACTGATTGTCTGTAGTCTATGTAAATTAATATTAGAACTGAACATAAAGTGGTATAAAGGCAGTTCATGATAGTTTTTGGAAGCACATCAGAAATCAAAGTTCATGTGCGGCCTAAATAAAAAATTTGTGAAATCTCGATAATCCATGAGTTTACAAACTCTGATCAAATCTTATGCATATACAAACATATGCTTATTAAAAACGTAACAGAAAATAACATTTTGCACAGATGTCTAATACTCCAAACTGAATCATAAATATGTTTTAATTTGTAGGTCAACCAAAGCTAAATTATTAAAAATATTAAAAACATTTCTTATTTCAAAACAGGCCCATAGTGTATATTAGTTTGTTAATAAGATTTATTGATTTCTTTTAATAAACAGAAAAAAATCAGAATAGATTTGCAGACCTTAGTGGCTTGAAAGTGTTGGTAGAAGTACTCCATGATCAAGTAAAGATGTTACAGATGCATCAAACGTCAGAAGCCATACGAATGACAGAGCATATTGCCAGCACTGTTGTCTCATGCATTGAAGATAATGGTGAATAAGATTTTAATATCAAAAATATAGAAGCCATAGTATGAATAGTTTGAATGTCACTCCAATAATTGACAAATTTAATTCTTTGGATAACTCAGAAATAACCAAAATTTGGGTCAGATTTGTTTCTTTAGTTAGGTAATAGATTATTTATTTTATTCCCTGAGCATAAACCTGGTTCTGACACTGATTTTGATCTAATCTACATTTTGTTACTCTTTGTCTCAGAATTTCTCAATATTCTTACTTCTCATGATACCTTCTTTGCTCTGATTGGATAATTGCATATTAATTAGGATTAGATGTAACTTGTACTATATATAGCATGTTTCTTTGTATTTTAGTAATAATAATAATTGAAAATTGTTATGCAAATTATAAGTGTTAAAATTGCACATATTACTTATTAAAAAGTAATGTTTTGATGTTCCAGTAGGTTTGAAAGTGGATATTTTTGAATGTAGAGAGCTCCAAAGTTTAGTAACTGCAAAATTGAAAGATCTAATTGTGTACTATTGCCGATGATGCTTATAAAATCATAATGTAGAATAAAATGACCCTGTCAATTTTTGGAGTGATATTCCTATTATTTGTACTTTAACTCAGTGCACATTCTAAAACCATAACTGTGTGGCTATTTGTTTTGAGAATGAACTTCAGTTTGACTTGTTTTTAATTTCAAATGAAAACATGAAACTATTTTGCTCTCAAATGCACAAACCATTCATGTTTTTTCACTGAACACATTTGAAACCAACTTTCATGAAACACGGTACTTAGCTAATTGTTTGAATTTAAATTCCATGTGTCTTTGGTTAAGCATTTCTGAACAAAAATTTCAAACATCCCTATCCAGCTTTGTACCTCGCATGTCTCATGGCCCCTACCCAGAGTCTTCTCTAGATTCACCCCTGCACATTGACGATATGTCAATCCTGTATCTATATGCTGCACATGAGGCATGCTGTGGCAAAATGGCTAAGTTGTAACAAAATCTGAAATTTAAATTATTGGTATTTGCAGATGCCTGAGTATGTGATCTTTAAAATGAGGGGTCATTCAAGTTATTGGAAAGTGAAAGTACAGCACTATTAGAGTCAATATAAACATAATTTGGAATAATTGCCTTCCAAAGTTATTTGTGCATACATTGTTTAATAGAATTAACTATCTAAATATCATTAAATATACGATTTGTTGACCACTTCCAGAACTAATACTTTGGGACATGATTAATTTCGTTAAACTAATGATCTATAGTGAAAAACAAATTTGGATTTTTAGGCAATTTTTTGAGCTCCTATATTTTATAGCTCATTTAATCAATACTGGCCTGTGCGACAACTTAACCATTTCGCCACAACATGCCTCATATATATTTTAATTGACTGGTAATCAGCTTCAGATTTTTATTTAGTAAAATGTATCTAAAAATTTGGGAAAAACGGAATTATTTCATTATGTCACAGGAACGTTTCACTTGAAGAATGCTTTGGGTTTTGTTTTTTCACAGTTTATCTCTGTAGAAAAGAGAATTGCACAATAACACACACTAACATAAATTGACGTTCTCTATCTTTCAGCTATTTTTTGCTCCTACATCCATCTGTGTCACTTAATATTCCTTCTCAAATTATTTTTAAGTTTCATTTAACAAATTTGTATTTTTTACTCATACATGGGCATGAGGATTATTGACATATCCATATATGGGCAAGTCACTGGTATTTGTTGCATAAAACTTGATAGGATAAGCCTTAAGTTCTATCTTGTAGTATTTTATCTTCTGCATTACAGAGGAAAGCCACTCATTATTTGCTGATTTACATGTAATCCCCCTGCTATTGCAAACATTGACAGTGGATTCTTCAGACACCAGCACTAAGTTGCAAATTGTTCTAGCACTTGTTCAGTGCACAGATTCTTGTGGTGAGATCATTCATCTTCACTGTTGATTTTTACATTATTATTTAATATCTTTTAAACAATATTTTATAAGGGTAAATATTTGTTATTGTTTTTCTGAAATTAGAGCTCTCTTTCTCTCACCCAAAATTACTAATTTATCTCAGAAATTAAATGAATATTCTTTAGGTATAATGTAAATTATTTAATTTATTGAATTAATGATTGATTATTTTATGTGTTTTTCACATTTATTTTGAGTGGGTTATTAAACCAACCATGGTAAACCCTTTGCATCCTTAAAGACGAAAGCTTAAGAAAATTAAGATATTTAATATATGTATCTGAAAGCTTTGTACGTATTGGAAAATCTCTGTAACACTAGTAGTCTGATATTTTCTTTCTACTGCCATAATCTAGCTATACTGAATTGAAAAGTGTAATGATGATTGTTACATGAGTTTTTTTTTTTTTTTTTTTTTTTTTTTTTTTTTTTTTTTTTGTTCCATTGTTCAGAGGAAACTCAAAGACAGTTTTTAGCATGTGATGGTGTAACCTTACTTGTGCAACTTATGTCGGAAGTACAAGATGAGGAATTTTCCAAAACAGCCACATACCTACTACAGATGTGCCTAGGTAAGGAGTAATGAGTGTCATCATAGCAAATTGAGCGCTTTCAGGTTTCACGATGATGTGATGCTAGAATGGATTCACTCAAGCGTGGCTATCCTACCGTCCTCTGCGCCCCATAGATTCTGCCAAATTGCGTCCTAGAATCCTACAACAAGAAGAATTTAACATTGCCGCATGCGCAGATGATCACTTATTGACGTCATTACAGTCTACGTCTTACAGTTGTCCTGCAATCAAAAGCTTCAATATTGTATGTGGAGCCTGTACTAGTCTTGTAGAAATATAGCAGTGATGGGAATTGAACCAGGGACCAAATGATGTTCACGGGTTAAGCGCACGCGCAGTGGCTACCACCAGATTAGCTGACTGAGCTAAGCTGATCTCATTGTAGAATCATGATCAATAAAGACCAGCTGATAATGTCAGAGTGGGCTCAGGTTCAGAGATACAAACACTGCACCAGTCACTCCCACACAGAGCTGAAATTATTTGATATTATCAACAACACATTCATAGCGCTATTACTTTTTTTTTTCATTTATAAAGCTTCACAGAAACTAAACGTGTTACCATCATTTAAAACGATTCCAGAAACAGACAAAAAGAGGGATTTTCTACAACACTACAGACACCAGAAGTATAATATGTCATTAGCTGCTGGTGGTTATGGTGAAAATGGCCAGCATGAAGACACTCAAATACCAATAACAAGAAAAGAATCTCCTCACAACTGTAGCACAGAAAGTCAGGTAGAAATGCAGACTATGTTAAAACAATTTTTAGAGTTGTTAGAAAATAATACTAAGGTTTGTTGTGTTTCATGACTAAAACCTGTACAGCAGCTGTTTGAATTCAGATTTTTTTATTTTTTTCGTAAAGTTACTAACTTTACCTCATTATTTAAAAAATACTTCCATAAGAACATTTTGTGATTGTATAAAACAGCCCGAAATAGTCGAATGAAAGTTGATAATAAATAATGCAAAAATGTATCAAAGTTGGTAACAATTATTATGGATATTGAAATTTTATTATTCAATTTTATATCTATGAAAATTCACTCTTTCTGAGTTGTTAAAAAATATAACAAAGAATACCGCGAATATTATATTTGCCAATTGTATTTGTTCTTGATTTTTTTTTTCTTTTTTCTTTCTTCTCACATATATTTTTCCTATCTTTTTGCACTTTTTATTCTGGCCGTCACTATGGTCACTTCCCATGCTTAGAATTTTTCCATGCTTTGCCGAAGCATAGGCCATGTATCAAGGATATGCCTCTTAATAATTAGTGTCAAATTATGGTGGGGTGTGTGTGTGAGGACCAATTAAAATGATTAAGGTCAAAGTCTACACTGGATATTTCAAAAACAGATCAGTTGATGTGAATGAAACTTACAGGAAAGTTTAATCAAGTTACAAGGAAGAAATTTTTATGTGTCAGTGACGATTCAGTGAAGGGTGTAAATTTGAGGGTCTTTCCAATTTTTGAGTACCCAGATCTAAATATCTCTTTTTAAAATGCCAATGGGTCTAATTGAAACATTCTATAATACTTTGTAAAGGTCTTGTAAAAAAATTATTAAATTTTTGTGACGATCCGCAGTATGGCGTGGATCTGAGGACCATTTAAAGGAAAACGTCCCAGACCACATATTTCGAGGACGGATCAACTGATCTGATTGAAACATTCAGAAAATTTTAAGCAAGTTACAAGGAAGAAATTATTATGTGCTGCGACGAATCAGTCAAGGGTGTAAATTGGAGGGTTAATTCAATTTTTGAGGACCCTAAATATCTCTTTAAAAAAATCAATGGGTATATGTACAGTATAACAGTTTGTCAAGGTCGAGTAAAGAAATGATTAATTTTTTGTGACGATCTGGAGTAGGGTGTAGATCTGAGGACCATTGAAAGAAAGCGTTTAAACCAGTTACAGCTAGGTTAAACTCAAAACTACTGTGATATGCATGAACAATTTTTTCTTTCAGTCATTGAATCACTATGAACTGAAAATGCACTTTCCTATGCAAGGTCGGCTCATATGGCCTGCAATGGTTATGAGTCATGATGTACCTCGCTATTACCATTGCAGCCATAGTTCAAGTCTCACTATTAGATAACATCACAGTGAACTTAGTTTTCATTTTCATACTCATTTTATTTTGATGAATATTTTTTTTGTAATATGCCTATTGAAATTCACATCCTAGATATTTAACTTTTTTTGTTTTTTATGTTACAAGGGAATAACACAGAATATACAGGCAATGGTACAGACCATGGTTGAAATGTTTCAGAAAACATTGAATCAGTCATGTATTGACACCCCAAAGGTCATAAATTCTGGAGATGCAGAGACCAGTCAGAAAAGCATCAAGGTTGGCATTATTTTTAGTAAAAATATCAACAAATAATTATTGGTTCCTATGTTGTAAAGCAATATGGACCTTTGCAATCTTTGCATTCGTATGTCAGTGATGCTAATGTCATCAAATTCGTTGAAAGTTTGTAAACAAGCAAACTTGAATTTCCAAACACCTGTAGGTTATGAATGTTTGCATACATATAGTAATGTAATGTAATGTAATGTAGTGGGATTTACTATAGCGCATTACACTGAAGTCTCAATGCGCTAAGTTATTGGTTATGTAGTGGTGTCCTATTGCTTGAAAACATTTTTAAATATATATTAAAGCAATACACAAGAACTTTATTCCCCCTCTATCCAAGAATAATCTAGCATTCTATGGTACAGTGGATTATTGATCATCTATTTTGATAGAAACCAGATCCAATTGCTTGTCCTCTCCAAATGATAATTGGATTCTAGGAAAAGACTATCACTTTAGATTAGAGGGCATTAAAAAGTCCCCAACATTTCTACCTGAATGAAGAATTTCAAAATATATATTTTGAGCTCTCTTTAAAGGAAAGTCCTGGATCGATTTCATTTGTTTCCTTATATCTACTGTATTTACATTATTACAAATAGTGTATTATTTTACCCAAATAGCTGCATAGGAACATTCGCTCTTCAAGAGTTCTCGTTAACAATGTGATTCTAGTAATGACAGACTGATATTTTGGGATGAGTGGAGTAATTTTTTAAAGATCTTAATATTCAATTTGTATAATTCTTCATTTAGGAATTGCAAAAGAGTTCTGCTATTACCAAGAATTCGAGCAACAATGTTGTCTCTTCAAATCAGTCGTTAGGAGATGATGAGTGTATGATGGATGAACAACCCCAAAACAACTGTGATGCAGGGAATACTAGAACATCAGTAAGTAGCAAGTAACCACTGTTGCCAACTCAAAATGTGCTTTTCTTCAAATGATAATCAAATTGAGCATGCAATTTCTAGATGAAAGTAATGTTTTAAAGTTCTTTATTCCTCTGGCATTCTCTACTCTTTATGTCATGGTCATTCTTACTGTATCTCTCTTTTTTTTTTTTAAGGAAACAACTGTTGACTTTTGTAAAACCCCTTTAAATGACCTACAGCAGCTTGATGAAAGACTCAAACACCTAGAAGAAACAATCAAGTTAGGAGCAAATCACAGCCCAGATCCCAAAATACACATACCAGGTTGCTGTAAGCAAGCGTCTCAAACTGAAAACCATTCACTGATCAAAAAGCAACCAGTTAGAGAAATATCTACACAAACACCAACAAGGAATAACATCAGAAATGTGAAGAAAGGCAGAGGCAACAGAAAAAAGAACCAGTCAGATGGACGAAGCTCTACTGAGAATGAAAAATTAACAATGGATATACAACAAGCAATATCAAGCTATGTGTACATGAATTCACAGTCATCTGATGGAGTCAGTAAAGCATCTGAATCAGATATCTTCAAGAAACCAGAAGCACCTGGGAGACACCGGAAGAAAGAAAAGGCAGCCAAGACATCAAAGAAACCTATGAGAACACTTTATAATGTCAACAGTCAATTTCTGATGTCACATGATGACAGTGAGCCTGAATCAGAAGGTAATAGTTGTGATGAACTTGAAAGTGCATCACAGATTGGAAGAAATTTTAAAGACCATGTTCAGAGTAATGATGATGATGATGAAGATAATGTGAATTGTGTTCCTTCTGAGATGCCACTAACTTCACCTCCAGTCAGACCACACAACAAAATCATTGACTATGATAATTGCAACGAAGACAATCAATATAATGAGTCTGATCTTGAGAGTGTTATTTCTGAGTTGTCAATGATTCCCTCTGTGATCGAATGCTATCGGAAGCAGAATAGAAGAAATCCAGTTGAAGATTGGCTAAGGGAATCTTGTACAGATCCTGAGAAATGTGGCAAACAAACCGAAGATACCGCCACGTCTGTCAAGAAGTTCTGCCGCTCACATTCCAAGTATGCCACAAGAAAAACTGACAGGTCTGATGCCAATCAGACATTATCTCACAGTAAGCCATCCATCAGATCCAGAAGGAAACATTCAACTGATGATGACTTGCCATGTTTAGCAAGACCCTCTGACGCAACTCTAGGGCATCATTCTGCAAAGCGAATAGCCTACAAAGTCAGATGCGGAAAAGATAATGAACAAGGTGAGGATTTGATGATAAGGAACAAATTACATCCAGCCTCCAACAAACGGCCAGTCAATGGATTTACAATACACAAGGATGATGACTGCAAGACCAAAGGTACTTGAACATACCAGTAAAATAGCGAAGGCTAGTGCAATAGCGTGTGTCTGTTTGTCTGCACTAACTAACTATAAATTTTGCACACATTTACAATATTACATGTATCTCGGTCCTCCTCAAATATGGTGCTGATTGGAAGTAAGATGCAGATTTTAGAATGTTATTATTAATATATATTTTTGGTCCCAATCGGTAGCCTAGTCAGTTTGGCTTGGCAGGGGGACTCTAGCGGATCAACCGCGGACCAGCTCGAGTGGATCCACCATGTATCAAATTCTTGCTGGCGGACTCAAGTGGTCTGGACGGGTGCAAGCCCGAATGATGTGCTTGCTACCTGAGGCCTATGAATTTTTTGACGACTTGAGTGGAGAAGTAAGATGCAGATTTTAGAATATTTCAATTATTTTCCGGCCGCGTATCTCAAAATATGCTTTTCCAATTTTATACAAAAAACTGAATTGTAAAATAGTAATAAAATAGGAAAAAAGTATTCTAAAAATGCACAAATAATAAAAAAGTTCATATAATAATAGTAATAATAATAATAAATAACAATAAATAATTTGGGAAAAAAAAGGTTGTGCGCATCTATTATATACGTAGATATGGCGCAACACGGTGAGGGTTTGTAATCTCAGACTATTTTGTAATTTTTATAAAAATTGTTTTAACAATTCAATGAAGTATACCAGTTTGGCCTAAGTTGATAGTTTTATTTGAAACATGAATAATTTTTGGATTATAAAAATGAATTTAAAATACCAAATTTAAATAATTTTTCTTTAATTATATTCTACGTATCATTTTTGCTTTTAGGTAAAAGTTCTGATGCTTTAGTGATTGCAAGGTTATTCAAGCAGTGCCCAGGTATGTATTGACATTTTTAATTACAGTATAACATTTATCTTCTCTAAATTTGGTCAGGAATTTCATTCATTTATGGATTGTCTATTAATTAATTCATTCATTCATTCCTTCATTCATTTAATTTATTGATGCCAATTGGTTTCAAACTTGGCAGAATATAAAAATAGTAATAAGAAGGTGGGGCCTGTTGTTTTTGGTACATGTATTTGGGTATTTATTTGGGCCTTTAGCTCAGACATGTCAATGCTCCATGAAAGTCTCCGACGGATACTGGCGCATTATAAATGCCTGTTTATCATTATTATTATTATCTGGTTAGTTTAAGACATATGTAAAGCACAGAATGATTTGTGATCCATTAGGCGCTATCTAAATACAGTTATATCATCGCCGTCTCCACTTCAACCATGGAGGTATTATAGTGAACTATAATACCTCCATGCTTCAACCATGACTTTCTAGTCCTTTTTTAGGTGGTCTAGGCTTAATTTGTGATAATCTGCACCATAGAGCGTGATTTGTTAGGTTCACTGTGCTCGTCTATAGCTTGGCCTAGCAAACAAAATATTCATTGCAATGTAATAAAACCCAAGCTTTGAGATTTTTGCACATGAGACACAAAATATAGAGGCCACTATATCAAATTAGTGCCCACTTGGCAGTAGGGAAGTTACATGCAAATTAAAATGATGACATCATGACTGACAAAATCATTTAGGACTAACAATAACAGTTAATGTTAATTTTAATACACACAGACGAACTGTAACAGTAATAACTTTTAAAATGTTTGCACTTCTAAAAAAATGAAATGTCAGTAAACCAAAATAATGTATATTTGAGAAAAATGAATGTCCCTATCAGGATTCAAACCCCAAGCATTGGGATACTCTACCAACAGAGCTATGAGGCCAAATGGTATACCGTAAATCCTTGAGTAAGCGCCACAGCACTTGTAACATTGTTGCGGCGCTTCGGTGCGGCGCTTATTGAATAAATGTTGGTGTGGCGCTTTTCATTCCTGATCCCATGTTACCTATCTCAAGTATTCCCATAGTACAGTAGACCTATCATAGGCCCTACAATATAGGTGGGCAGAGTGCGGGACGCATGTGGCCGACAGCGATTTTTTTGTGGCCACCGATCATGTGTAAAAGTAACATTAAAACTGAAAATAAAGTTCTGTACAGGCGGTGCTTAGATGTTTTTGGGTGCTCACTGGAAACATTAAAGTTAACATTAAAGATAAAGTGTTTTTTTTAATTGCAGCTTTTAGTAATTTAAGTCATTTTAATTTAATCAATCAATCCATAGTTTTTTTTAACAAATTACAGTAATATATTTTTTAAAAAGATGCTACTGTGAAATGAGTTTAAAAACTGTTAAAGCCGGGGATTTTTGGTAATAAAAATTAACAAAATCTTAGTTGTATTTTAACTTACTGTATTTATGTAAATTCATTTCACAGTATGATCTCTTTTTAACAAAATCTTACAAGGTCTTTAAGGTGCATTTTAACTTACTGTTATTATAACAGAAATAAATTTACATTAATTTCAAAGTGGGTACGTTCATTAGATATTTTTTTTAAATAACGTGATAATTCACTTTAAAAAATTAACTAATATAATATCGGGGAAGTTAAGAGCGATTCGCCAGGGGATAAAAGAAATAACATCTTAAAACATTTATGTCAAATGTTGGCCTGAATTGGATCTGGCCTAAATTAATTAATAATTTGAACGTCAATAAGATACAAAAAACAAAATCCTTAGGTCAAGATGCCCTATATGCAACTAGCGGCTTCTTATTTTTTTTATTTTTTTTTTCCCTCCTCCCCCCTCTACAGGCCTCGAACCTACAGCCCTCTGTTAGCGGCACCAAAGTACAACTCTTGCCCTGCCTGTCGGGGGTGTTGCCCTGCCATGAAAGAAATGCTCATTTATTAGCTCTTCAATTTTTTTTTTTTATCAAACAACTCTTAAATATCTTAGAATGTTAATTTATACAAAAATAATAATAATAATAATAATAATGAATACTGAAGCGGAATTCGAAATCACGACTTGCAGTTCCTTACAAGACAGCATTAACTAATCATGCCATTTATACGACGTGTCCTGTTAGTGGTAGTAATTAATGGCAATTATGAACCAGTGCCAAAAAACCTAATATATTAACTTTCGCCACTGTGTACAATATTTAAGCATGGAGGATATTTTCTCCGTGCATGTTTTAATTATGTCTACAAAATGCCCCTTCTGAAAGCTGCATACCTGAGGCGTTAAACGTTGATAGATTAATTGATTTATACATCTTTTTTTTATATGAGGCTGTTAGGGTCAATATACTGCCTATATTACACTGCCCTCATCAGAGCTTTCAAGATTACGGGAACTTGTGTTTTAATCAGTTTTATTACTAAATTTTATCATTGGGTCCGTTTTTACCTACAGTACTTTTGGGGCCTTTTTCAGGAGCCGTTTTTCTGGGGCCATATTTAACGTACATTGTTCGGCTGTTTTCTTATCCTCATTATAGTCATCAATATATACTCCCCAATTTACATAACCATAAATTTAAATATTTTGCAGGATGTGTACCTCCAGTTGGCCTACCTTTGCTGAACAGCATCAATTACACCCGTGTCCTCAAGAACTGTAGACACACCTGTAAGGAGCACCGATATATCATCGGTATAACTGAGAAGTACAGGCAACGTGTCAGAAAAAAAATTACTGTGACAGATAAAATGACAGATCACAAGGAACAACAATTGACAGTCCACCAAAGTCTACATGAGAAAAGGAGAGATGGACATGAAGGAGTCCTGCTTTCAAGGAGTGGAAACATGATGGAGAATCAAAGGAAAGATGGCCCAAGCTATAGCTTCAGGGAAAGAGAGAAGCAGGTTTGTCATTGGACAAATAATAATAATAGTTCATTTTTATATAGTGCATAAAAGCAAACTCTCAACACACTGTACATAAATTTAAATAAAACAATATGGCTATAATGTTATATTAATGAAAAAAAAGCTTGATGCAAAAAGAAGGTCTTTAGGTTGGTCTTAAAGAGTTGGAGCTGCCACAGCAAAAGCTCTCTTAATATAGGTCGATGCCCTAGTCTTGGGAACCACAAGCTGACATTGGGCACCTGACCTAAGAGCTCTTGTGGGCTGGTAAACCTGCACAAGCTCAGATGGATAGCCAGGCACCAGATTGAATCTACACTCCCAGCTATTGTTCCCTGGCTGTTTTCTCTGGTATTTTCCTCCTCATTGGAAAAATTTCCTCTGGGACCATTCTTTAAATAATTTTTTTTGGGGTTTGTTACTGAGACTTTTGTTGAATTACAGGGTTAGTATCCACCCATGTATCATAACTTTGGACTGTGCCTGTAGGTTTTCCTTAATACTGTATGTATCAAATAACCCAAATCAAAGTGCATGGAAAAACCTTCTTGAACATTCGTTTTGCGTAATTCTTCATTTAGGAATTGCAACAAACTTCTGCTATTACCGAGAATTCCAGCAAAAGTGTTGTCACATTTAATCAGAAGTCGTCAGAAGATGATGAGTGTATGCTGGATCAGAGGAAAGAGAACCCAACCTATAACTTCAGGAAAAGACCAAAACAGGTTTGTCATTGGAGTTATTAAGTATAGACCTAGCTATTTTTCTTTGTCTGTGTGGTGTTTTTTTTTTGATATTTTCAGCTGGGACATAAAATTTCCATGGGAACCCATCTAGAAATACCCTTTTTTAGGATGCAGAGTGTTACTAAGATATAACTTTTGACTTTGCTCCTTCAAATATAATTTACTTTAATTTAGAAAATAAGAAAATTCGCAGAAAATTGACTTGTTGATAAACAATATTTAGAAAATTGCAAGAAATGAAAAATGACCAATGAATACAACAAAAGGATAGAGAATCAAATACGCCTTAATTGGTTTTCTGATTGATCCCCCATAAAAGCATCACATGTAATAATATCAGAGTTTTCTTTTTGGTTATTGCTCCTGCTGTTTTTTATCACAGAAGTATTTTAAATCGGATCATGATGAACCGATTACAGAAAAAAGACGACGAAGAAAGGATTACACAGACATAGAGATTGAGAACTTAATTATTGGAGTGAGAGAAAAAGGCAAGAATTGGAACAACATTCTTTGGAGCTATGAATTTCAACCTGGTCGAACTAATGTAGATCTTAAAGATAAATATAAACAGATGCAGAAGAAGAGATTACAGGCATACTAAGGACAGACGTATTATGGACAGGCAATACCATGTGCGTCACATGTCCTTACGGAAAAAATCAGGAGCAATATTAAGAAAAAGGCACTTATAGTAAAGTCAGAAATTCGAACCTTCTGGAACATGGACCTGAAGATAAGAAAGACATTAGTAAAATTTGAAAGTATAATTTTGTTTTATATTTATGCTAAAGATATATATTGCAGTGCACCTTCCAATTCGAGGCCCCCTCTAAATCAGAGACCCCGCTGATTCGAGACCGCTTTTCCAAAGACCTAAATAACAATCTTCAACCTTTTAACACTAAGCAAGCCCTCTAATTGGAGAGAACCCTGAGACAACCCCAAATTTTCAGGTAATGAAGGTGGTCTCAAATTGGAGGGTTAACTATTTAATTATTCTATCAGTACAGTTTTATATTTCTAATAGTATATTATAGTTGTATAATTCATACATAATAATATTATTTAATTACGCTATTTAACTGAAGAAACTAATAATACATCAGTACTTGTCAATGCAATGAGTTTATAGATTGATAGTGTAACCACAAATGTTTCAGTTTATTTTAGAAGTATAGAGTAGTTTTTTGTGAAAATTTTATTGTCCCAACAGGGATTCAAGAATGTGATAGTATTTTGTTTGGTGTGAACACCACAAGGATAAACTGTTTGAAGAATACTCTAATGTAATAACTATAATTGATATTTTCTATTACAATTAAATATGTTTATAACAAAAAGCGAACGTCACAAGAAATATCCTGAATAATTGAGAACTTTTATTTAAAAAAAAAAACACCAAAAAAAATGATAGTTTATTCCAAGTTGTATTTTCTAATACTTGAGAAATGAGGAGTCATTTCAAGCCTTAGTTAGTGGGGAGTAATTGTCACTTGGGGTCAAATAAAAGTGATTTTGATTGCCTTATACATGCATCCACTTTTTAATCAAAGTAACTACCAAAAAGACATGCAATGATTGGGTTGACTATTTTCATTCTATAGTGAACAACAAAATTATTTCTATGTCATTGTTTGAGCTTCTATGTTTTATAGCTCATTCTCAATGCTGACCTGTCTTGTGTAACAACTTAGCTTTTTGGCCACAACATGGCTTCAAATTATACAGTTACCCACAGAATCTTGTATTGCCTAATAGTAACTACTAAGTTTCAGAAAATAAAAGATGGAATTCCACATTTTAAAGTTTGTATTATTCCTTGAGATATCAAACGAAAAAATATCCATTTTGAATTTTACTGTACTAACAAAACATAGCCCCTCTGGTATAGGAAGCACGAGGAATGTGTCAAAGATCAGATCCCAAAATACACATACCGGTACCATGTCCTTCGCAAACAGGTAACAGCAAACATGTGCCTCAAACTGAAAATCTTTCATTGAACAAAAAGCAACCAGTTCAAGAAATATCTATACAAATGCCAACAAGAATACAATTCGAAATATGAAAAAAGGCAACAGGAACAAGAACCAGTCAAATACACTGAGCTCTACTGAGAATGGAAAATTAACAATGGAGGTGCAACAAGCAATATCAACCATGTGTATTTGAATTCACAGCCATCAGATGGAGTGAATGAAGCATCTGACCAGATGTCTTCAAGAAACCAAAATAATCTGTGAGACGCTGGAAGAAAGAAAAGGTTGCCAAGATGTCAAAGAAATATATGAAACACTTTATAATAACAACAGTCAATGTCTTTTGACACATGATGACAGTGAGCCTAAATCATCAGTTGATGGTTGTGATAAACTTGAAAAATGTCACAGAATTCAAAAAATTTAAAGACCATGGTCAAAATAATAATGGTGATGTGATATATAATTGCAATGAAGACTATCAATATAATGAATCTGATCTTGTGAGTGTTATTTCTGAGTTGTCAATGATTCCCTCTGTGATCAAATACTATCAGAAGAAAACAAATCCAGTTGAATACTGGCTGAGGAAATCTTGTACATATCCCGAGAAAGGTGACAAACAACTGAAAATATGCCACAACATCTGCCAAAAAATCCCACCGCTCACATTCCAAGTATGCCCCAAAAAATACTGTTAGGTCTGATACCAATAAGACATCATCTTATGGTAAGCCATCCAGAAGGAACCATTCCAGAGATGTGGCTTGCCATGTTTAGCAAGACCCGCTGAGGGATCTGTAGGGCATCATTCTGCGAATCAAGTAGTCTACAAATTCAGATATGGAAAAGTTAATGAGCATGGTGTAGATATGATGTTAAGGAACAAATCACAAACCTCCAGCAAACCGCTAGTCAGAGGATTCACATTACCTAAGGATGATGACTGCAAGACGAAAGGTACTTGAACATACCAAAAAATTGTTTAGTAATTTTTATTGTAATAAAATCATGCCTTCGGTTTATATTTTCATTTGAAACATGAATATTTTTAAATAATTTTTCTGTAATTATATCCTATGTATTATTTTTGCTTTTAGGTAAATGTTCTGATGCTTTAGTGATTGGAAAGTTATTCAAGCAGTACCCAGGTATGTATTAAGATGATCAACATATTTTTAACTATAAATTTTTTTCTCTAAATGTGGTTAGGTATTGACTATTCATTCTTTCATTCCTACATATCTAACTGCATTAATAGATTATTGTTTGCATTGTGCAGGGGGAACTTCCTTTATTATTAAGTTTTTTTTCTTAACTATTATAGAGACCATGTATTAATACAGTAGAACCACCCCATCGAAGGGATACATTCAGGACCAAAATTGTCCCCTCTGGAAATTAAGGGTAGTATGTGGTCGTCGTTTGCTACCTGATTTTTTTAGGTGCAATAAAGGATTAGTCGCTCTCAGTCCGACAATGTAATTTACTTGCGCAACTAGTTTTAATCAGTATCAGAAAGACATTATCCTTTGTAATCCAAATTGTTTTACAACATGTACAGCCAATGATTTTTAGTCACACATTATGCAAAGCAAACTGTCCACCTAGCGATCCAATTCACTCTACATCGCTGTGAATCATGGTACTGTAAATACTATACTGTATCAACCAATCAGCACCAGCTATACTGTTAAAGATGATGCCATGTTATTCACGGCCAGTAACCAATGTGCAATCTTCATAAATGTAAAGCCTGGAATATAAAAACTTTTTAACTTTTTTAATGAGGGCTACTAGGAAAAAAGATTTAACATTTACAATAGTGAAGCAGGCATGTACAGATTTTTTTGTGAACTTTATTTGTTTTTGCAAATTATATAATACACTGTACTGTACCTTTTTTTTGCAATAATTATTAAGACCTACATTACTGCATTATAATTAAAAATAATTATTATTTTTACTAGCAAAAGGTTAACATTTACTATACTGTAGTCAGTCAGGCATGTACAGATTTTTATCAATTAAATTTATTTAAATATATTTGTTTTTAATATTAAAAACCATTATTTATTATCTTATTTAAGTTAATAAATAATCATAGGTTTTTGGTAGACCATTTAGCATATGCTACAGATTTCAATTGAAGGTATCCAAATGGTTCTTCTTAGAACAGTTGAGATGTTTAGCATGCCATGAGGCAGGTAATGAAAACACAAATTATTAATGTAAATTCACCATGCAAACCTTTAAGATTTACTGAGGTAAAACTTGTTGTCACTGAATCTATTTAAAAAGACAACTTCCTTTGAAGCCCATATGAGTAAAGTACCTGGCGTACACACAGAATAATTGATTTGATAACAGCTACCAAATCCACAGTAATTTGGTTTTAAATACAGAAGGTGTTCAGGGTACAGTAGCTGTTTATTGAATTGCATTTATTCGAAATCTGATAATTCTGTGATTGCACTACCTAGTGGCAGATCCAGGGGCAGTTGGTTTTGATGACCCCCTCCCCTCTGTGATGAAACGTTAAAAAAAATACTGCAGTTAGTGGATTCAAGGGAGGCCCAGGCTCCTTTTGCTTTTTGTTCTTGAAGAGGGAGAAAACCTTGAATTTTGAAAAATTTAATAGTCATTGAAAGACCTCAGAATAATAATAATAATAATAATAATAATAATAATAGTGTAGTTTTATATAGTGCACAAATCCATCTAATGTAAGATGCTCAGGGCGTTTGAAATGTGGACTAGGAACTCGATCAATGACTTTCTTCGCCCCTAAGGGTCCCTTCGTGTCTGTGCTACCCGGTACCAGCAACTCTCGTCATCCACCACAGGGGCTGTCTGTTCCAGTACACCGGGGTATCCCGGTGTACTGGCTCATTTCTGGTCATCTACATCAAAATGATCAAGAACCCCTTTCTTTTTTTTCCTTTTTTTTTTTTTCTTTTTTTTTTTTTTTTTTCCAAAATGTTGAAACCTTAAATTCTGGATCGCCCTTGCTACCGTTAAGTCTGCTACTGTTGATGCTGTTTTTTGGGTTTTTTTGCGCACAGGTTGCTAAGAAGACTTAAGGCCAAGTCTTTGACTGTAAAGACCTAGCAAAATTGTAGTTGTCATACCAGGGCCTCTACTTAACCTTTAAGCCTATTTTTATAATTATAAATGTAGCAGGTACCTTAGCATTTTCCAGTTATTATTTGTTTTTTAATTATTTTTTTAGGCCTACTCAGACGGATACTAGCTTATAAACATTCGTTTTTTATTATTATTATCAAGTTAGTTTAAGATTTGTAAAGCACTTAGAGGGTATGATCCATTAGGTGCTACTGTATAAATACGTTTTTATCATCGTAGCCTCCACCAATCCACCATGCATTTTGTAGGTTTTCTAGGCTTAATTTGTGTTTATCAGTGCCATAGAGCGTGATTGTTAGGTTCACTGTCTGCATTTAGAGATTGGCATAGCAATGAAATATTAATTTCAATGTAATATAAGCCCGGGGCATTGAGGTTTTTGCACATGATGCGCAGAAAATAGCGGGCACTGTATCAAATTAATGCCCGCCTGGAAATAGGGAAGTCACATGCAAATTAAAAATGATGACATCACGACTGACTTATAAAATCATTTAGGACTAATAATTAATAATAGTTAGTATTAATTTTAATACACATAGGCCTACTTTAACACTAATAAATGAAATATTAATTGCTTTGCTTTAACACTAATAAATTGATACTGTGGTAATCGAAAACAAAACAGTCAGCAACATTTGCATAAATTCTATAGCATTTCATCCAGTGAATAGGCTATATCAATTTATATTGACATTATAAATTTTAATTGAGGTATCAAGTAACAAGTGAGTGTATGTGTCTGTGTTTGTCAATATGAGGTCAACATTAATGTATTGATTTGCTTGGTGTGCATGTTTTTATTAACTTAGCACTATATTGTATAATTTATTATGTTTTTTTATTTGTTTAACAAAAAAATATTTTAAATATATATATACAGGTTAATATCATTTGATATTGAAACTTGTATTATATATGGTCCTGTTATACTTCAAATTTTCAAGTTCATGTACAGTAATCATCGTTTGTCCATAACGAGTGCGTTGTCTAATTTGCTAATCAGCAATACTTTAAAAACATAGTATCTGTGATAACTAGTGGTCACTAGGTCATAGACCTATTCTGTACCATGAAACTGCACAACACATCCAGTACAGTATGTGGTCATAAAATAAATTGGTAAAAAGCAATCATAGGCAGATTCAAATGTGCCTTCGTCAGGGGCGGCGCCAGGAATTCCCCGACGAGGGACCCAAGCTCTCCTCCGTCGGGGTCCATATCCCACTCAGGCAGAGAAGCCTACCCCCCCCCCCCCCTTTGTTATGGGGAAAAAAACATCATGTTGATTATGGTATTCTTTATGTAAAAATGATAATTTGATTAAAAAAAAAAAAAAAACCATCTAAGTTAAGAGGCCCCCTGTCTGGGGTACTAACCAGCTGTTGGAGGTACCATCCCTCTATCAGGGATGATCTGGCATGACCACCTCAACCCATATGATAGTGATAGTATGTATACAACACCTCGCATATACAGTAGCACTGCTCACACTAAGCATTTTTAATCCCTAAAATTTGACAGGTTAGTAAGGCATACCTAAATTGTTCGGTGGTCAAGATTTCGACATGGCTGGAAATTGCCCGACAGGGGGTCCAAGCAAGGGGTCCAGAGGTCTCCAATGGGGGTCCTTTGCCCACTAGCGCCACCCCTTTGCTTCGTAAGTTTTTGA